TTTAGAGAGCGGAATTTGTCTCGACCGGCCACTCACTCCTAAATTATCCATACATCGACTGAAGGACATCGTCTCCTTCAGCAAGGACATATACTGTCCTCCATCCAAGAATCCTGGCAGACGGAGTTCCGGCGTCTACCAAGACGTATCTCCTCTCTCCACCACTGCCATCCTAAAGTCCCCCATAATTCTACAGTTTCCACAACCTCTAAATATATTTTGGTTTCTTGATACATAAATGTAAAATCCTCCGGCTACGTAAAATAAATTGATAACCAGTTGCTCTGTAAAAACTATAACTCTCGGGGGACGCGTATTACATTTCGGTGACTTATTTCGAGTGCTAAATTCCGATAAAACATTAACTTTCGTGTATCTCACATCATAAGTGGGGCTGCCGATCGCACATACGGCCTTACGCCTCCAAACTGTGTGGTGACCTTCCGGAACATTCATCCCAGTCCGTCCCGACTGCACTCACCTCTGACCTACCAAGCGCCCACCGGAAGACCAACGCCCACAGTCTACACTGGCCAATTAAACTAATTATATAAGTCTATACGACGGAATGCAACGACCACGGAATTGGTTAACTCAACAAGTCATAGATAATATGGAAGTGTGTATGTATATGTATGTACATAAATACATATGTATCCACAATAATAAAAAAGTATGTAATAATGGTATTTACGGCGTGAGGACTATAAAAATAAAAATGTTAGCAATGTTTCAAAAAATACGAATCCCACTTAATTCTACGGATTCAGGTACTTATAAATATGATATTTGTTAGAATAGTGTGAATAACCTGCACATTTTGCACTCAAATTACTAATATGTACGTATAGGGTAGGCTTATTACTTTACAAGTGATTGGATGTTCTGATCACCCCAGTTTGGCAAACCTTCACCCCTGCGTAATACTACATATGTAGATGTATTTAAAAGCACCAAGAATCACACAAGGATATTTTATCGGTGTGGGACATACGTCTGATAATTGGCAAACTTTTACACTATTCAGACATACATACGTACATATGTACCCGTTGTCCATAAATACACAAGGAAAAATGCTACAAACATAACTCCTTAAGCATAATGTCGATTAGATTTCAATGGTCAGGTATGTACGAACATATGCATGTGACATGTCCATACGTACATGCAGGCCATTATTTAGATATTTAGTAACGATTTAGGCTTAATATGTAATGGATGCTTGTATTTAATAGTTTAGCCAGTGGAGTTAATACAATGTTACCGATATTGTGGATAAAATTTAATGAGCTACAAATAGGTAATTAGTACAAATTGTACCAAAGAAATTATTCGAGTTTACACATTTATGTGCATTTGTACTGTACTGGTTTAAAAAACTGGCAATTTTTACTTGGTATGGACATACTTTTGTACCTTGTTCATTGTGTGTGTATGCTTATTCCTGAAGTAAAAGTTAAGAAGAATCAGTCATACACTGTAAGCAATCTGGTAGAGTAACACTTATTGGCATGGCATGCATACTTATACTCCTTACTGGTGTTGGTCTGGTAATATTTCCTACTGGATTGGTAGTATTTTATTTGTGATCGATAATTTTTGTCATTATCACAACATTACTATACCGCAATGCCTGTTATTATCAGGGCCGGTAGAATCATGCGTTTATGAACTCTGGTATGAAATGATTTAATATGGAACAGTTTACACGTGCAAATCATATCTGTAGATCACTACATGCATATAAATACTCACATACTATGTTTAAGCAAAGTCGTTTAAGTTACATAGATTTTCCCACAATTTGTAAATACATAAGCAGGCACAGTTCACTGCACAAAGGAAGGTTTGTCTTATGTCGTACATGCATACTTAACCTATGAGAAAACGTTCTAAAGATATGGATCTCTCTACCTATTTACTACACTTTTAGAAAACTGGTGATGAACCAATACTGACACAAGTCCATTTAAATATGACTTTATGTATGTATGTACATGCAGGATAATAATGTAACGGGCAATGCTGATGCAATGAAAGATTTAACGGTCAGAAAGAACTAATTCCAATCCGGTAGCAAGTTATTAACAAATCAGTACCAGTACGGAGTAAATGTATAACATTTTCACCACATCTTTAATCTCACCACTTCACCACATTTTTAACAGTATAAGCAGTTATTCTATACCACTTCGGTGGATTTACATAAACGTATACGTCTATAAATAAGCTTTACATACGTAAGTTTTATGCAAAAAGCTTGGTATTATTTTAAACTGGATTTCTAAGAGTGTAATTCTATCCAGCAAGTATTACATCAAGTTTGACTTATGTATGTACATAATTGCGTTTAACTACAGTTTATAATCAATTCTTGTGAACATTTTTTTGCCTGATGGATTTGCGTATTGGAATTTTATTACTAAATTGTTACTGCAAGATGAATACACAAATATGCCGATAACGTTGTTCTGTTTAGTCTATAGCAGATATCTGTTTCGAAATTGTAAAATTCTGACTGGGTCTCAGTTACCGAGTTACCGAGTTGCAGCTATGTGGAAGAGTAGTAAGCTAAATGGAGATGCTCCACCAGGTAAGTACATTTTTTTACTATTATTGTTTTCCGAAATTTCTGGTACAAACACACAGATGCTCCACCAGGTAAAAAAATATGTAATACCAAATGATGTGTACATTGTTAGAAATCTGGTATAGTCAGGCAGGTATTGATTTCTTGGTGTTAAAGTTGCTCCTGATTGGTTGTAAATACAATTATACCCGTTCATAAAAAAAATTTGCCACAAATATATTGCACAACTTTAATACCGGGGTAAATAGTGTTTTACCAATACCGCTTTTTAGAGTCATATATGATGTTAGTACATATGAATACACTCTTAGAAATCCAGTATCGGAATAATTCCAAGCGGTATTCATATATGACGCTACCAAAGCGGTATTGATAAATAATACCGTGTAGTTATAACCCGGTAGTAAAGTTTTACAACATTGGTATCAAATTTTTACGGACCGGTATAATTTTATTACCAAACGGTAGCAACTTTAATACCGAGAAATCAATGCGTGACTGCGTGACTATACCAGATTTCTAACAGCGTACATACCTCTTGGTATTATTTTAGTACTTAATTTCTAAGAGTGAAATCGAGTTTATCTATGTGTTACGTGATCAAATAAGGTTTACTGATTTTTAATCATTTTCAGGTGTGGAATCTCTAAAACCAGTTAAATATCTGTTGCCGACAGTAAATCTGGGGTTTTTGGGAAATGTGGTGGTCGCTGGGCTTAACTTTTTCAGTTTTATACTGGATTTATTTTCCTGGGGAGATTCAACCCTGGCAGAGAGGAGGCTCGCACTTCATAAAGAAGTTAAGGTAAGGGGCCATCCATAAAGTAAGTAACGCAAGAAGGGGAGGGAGATCTAGGGTTCCAATGATATCGTGCCTATGTTACACATGTTAAAGAAAAAGGATTTAGAAAATTGCGATTCTTGCATTACATAATTTTTGGACGGCCCCTGAAGCTTTGATCAGTTAAGTAATTTTAATTGGGGAAGAGTAGAAAAATTTTAAGAAATTTGCAGACCCACTTGCGCTTGCATCTGCAAGCATTTGCAGAAAAGATGGTCTGTAGGGATATTTAAAATTTGCTTCAAAACCTTATTTCAAGAATCGTTAATTTGGGTTAGGTGTAAAAGATTCGAAAAGGTTTTATTCCGGGAAAAACACATTCACATCAAATTTTATTTAAAAAATTGAGAATTAACAAATTAATTTTATGTAATTAAAATCAGCAAACTACAGAAAAATACTGTAATTAAAGTTAGGTTTGCATGTTTATTAAAATACAAATTTGTGCTTACACGTGTGTGCAGAAGGTCAAGTTCAAATTTCAAATAACCTACGTACAGAAATTTTGTGATAAATGCTAAAATAAAGCAATTGGAGTTAGATAGTACATAAAATTAGCAAATAAAGGTCCCAAGTTCGCAAAAAAATGGCTTGAAAAATTGTTTATAATTTTTGTTCATTATTTTTTCCACCAGGCTGAAGTAATTTCAAAAACCAAAGGCTCAATCACACTACGGGGTAAAAGAGAAAAGAGGGCGATTCATGAAGAATTTAAAGCTTTAAATCTCACCACGATGCATCAATTTTTCTCGTTCCCGATCAGAAAACACGGATCGAGACACTGCCTAGGAACGAGGCAAATGTTAAGCGAAGAAGAGCACATTCAGGTACTTATAAGGATATTTTAAGATAAAAACAATTTTATAAAATTAAAAAAATGACAATTTGGGTATCCACAATTAACTTCGTATCCTTGGTAATATCGTAAAAAATTTACGAAAAAAAATTAAGTGGTCATGATTCATAAAACTCGTAAACTTTGATTCTTGACGGAAAAAGCATACAACGCTTACAAAATCTTGTAACCGTCGGAACTTATTTCACGATACGAAGAATACTAAGATACGAACGAGTCACGAATACCCTCACTGTAAAAAATACTACAAAATTTCAAAAATTTTTGCAGCCTGATGGGAAGTCCTTGAAAAAAGTAAACCTCGGTTCATACACTTGGCTCACTTATAAAGAAGTGGACCATATCTCGAAGTCATTCTCTTTGGGGCTGACGAAACTTGGTTTATCGCCACTGGGAAAAATTTGTATTCGCCGAAACTAGGGCCGAATGGCTTATCGCAGCTGTAGCTGCGTTTAAAGATTCGTACCAAGGTGACATTAAATTAGCCTAATTAGCATAAAATTATGAAATTGATCAACAAATGAAAATTATTGCTTTTTCAGTTGTCACACTGTACGCAACGTTAGGCGAGGAGGGCGTCATCCACGCCTTGAACGAAACGGAATGCCCCATTGTCCTCACGTCGGATGAATTGCTGCCCAAATTCAAATCAATCTTGGAACACACGCCCCACATTCGGCACGTCATTTTTATGGAACATCAAATAAAAGTGACGAACACGTCAGGTTTCAGTGGCCAAGTGGAAATCCACATGTTTAAAGATGTCGTTGAAATTGGGAAGAATCTCAGTGGTGCAGGTACACATGTAAATTAATTAATGAACTCCTCATCTCCTAATCGCATTCTCTACGCATACGATGTGATTATTAAGTGCTCAATTTTCTCGTTGGTAAACATGGTTTTATTCGCATTTTTTTCAAAATATGCAAATGAAATGATTTACATATTTTCCACACTTTCATTGCTTTAACACTTCTTATTTTTTTAGAGCTGCGGCCCCGTCTACCGGATGACGTTGCTATTATCATGTACACTTCCGGTTCTACTGGGACCCCAAAGGGGGTGCTGCTCTCGCATAAAAATCTTGTAACTTCCCTCTACGGAATGACGGATGCAATGGGTCATATTTCTGACCAGGGTGAGAAAGAAATTAATAAAGTATTATTTTTTGAATAACGTTTAATGAGGATTTCATAAAATCCTCATGTACTCTCCGTTCGCACACAATTGAAATTTTACCGAAATTTAGAATTCTGAGAAACTACGGCACTGTCAGTCTCAAATTCCCTTAAATTATGCTTATGGGGGACTTCGAGACTGGCAATGGCGAAGTTTCTTGGAATTCTTAATTTCTGTAAAAGTTCAACTGTGTGCGAAGGGAGCGTATGTATGTATGGTTTCCTTCCTACTTTAAAATGTATTTACTTCCCGCTAAATAAAAACCGAGGAAACTTCCGCATTTCTTGCTAGCACAATAAAATTTGTAAAATCCACCAACTCACAAAGTTTTACAACTATTACCTAGGAAAATGAAATTAGCTTCAGAATTTTTTATAAGCTTTCCAAGACAGAGGGCGTATTTTTATTGTGTCAAGGTTTTGTACAAAATTTACTGGCTTACAAAGTTACCGATCACTTTGTGAATTACCTCACCATGGTTTTTCAGATACATATCTCGCCTATCTCCCGCTTGCCCACGTGCTCGAATTGGTCTGCGAATCGCTCTGTTTCTTCAGCCGTGTTCCAATCGGGTACTCTTCCCCGCTCACGTTGACGGACAAGTCGCCCAAAATTCTGGCGGGAACTACCGGAGACGTCGGGATTATCCGGCCCACCCTATTGGTCTCGGTGCCCCTCGTGCTGGACAGGATTTACAAAATGGTTCTAGATGAAGTCAACGGATCGAGTAAAATTAAACAGGCCGTCTTCTACTGGGCGTATGATTACAAGTTGAAGTGGTACTACAACGGGTATTCCTGCTCTAAAGTGGACACTTTGATTATGAAGAAAACTAAGGAAATTTTAGGTGGACGGGTCCGCGTGATGGGAAGTGGAGGTTGGACATACATAGATAATTTTGGTGGAGGATAGAACTATTACAGAAATAGAGAATTCTGAGAAGCTACGGTACTGCCAGTCTCAATGTTCACACTCAGAATTATTTGAGAAAATTTGAGATTCGCAGTACCGTAGTTTCTCAGAAATCTCGATTTCTATAAAAGTTTAAATTTGCACGGACAAAGAGTACGTGTTGGTATTTGAATCATGAATAGTACGGATTTAGTACAGAGGGTGGGCACTAAATATATGATTGTGCAAGGGAAAATTCAACTGATATTCAGCACAAGATACATACATAGAATTGTATTTTAGTTTGTATCTTCTTAGGTCAATTTGTTACGACGGTTTATCTTATCAATTTATAAGAAATGTTGGTCTACAAGTTGGAACATGTAAGCGAATGATAATGGAGTAGTGCCCGCCCTCTGTATTAGTGTTAGTGGGGCATGCTGTAAATGCTTTAATACGCCAAAAAGTATACTTATCCGTACCGAGATTTACATATTTGTAGGAGCTCAATTATCCCAGGAAACGCAAGAGTTCGCCAAAAATTGTCTATGCATTCCCTTCCTAGGCATTTGGTACGGACTAACGGAAACTTGCGGCAGCTCGGCCACTTCAATGGGTACGTTTTAATATTTCTTAAATTTGTACAAAAATATAATCTTGGTTTTAAATTTCACGCAGTCAATGACCTATCTGTGGGCCGTATTGGTCCTCCATTCCAGTGCTGCAATATCCGCTTAATCGACTCGGACGAGGTGAATTATTGTGTTGAAGATGAGCCCTACCCCAGAGGAGAGATTTGCATTGGGGGACCTAACGTGGCAATGGGCTATCTGAAAGAGGATGATGCAAGTCAGGCCGATTTTTTCGAGGAGAATGGCACCAGATGGTTTCGAACCGGAGATATCGGACAGCTCGAGTCGGACGGTAGTTTCCGAATTATTGGTGAGTTTTTCATCAGAATTTTGGAGTTACTTTTTGAAATTTCAAAAATTGATTTTTGTTCTTAATTTCCAGACAGAAAGAAGGATTTGGTAAAATTACCAATGGGCGAGTACCTAAGTCTTGGGAAGGTTGAGTCCATCTTAAAAACGTGTCCATATATTGACAACATTTGCATTGTTGGAGATTGCTTGAAAAACTTTTGTATCGCGTTGATCGTTCCCAACGAAAAATTGGTAAAATTTTGACCTCTTTTCAAATTCATGATCTACTGTTCGTTCAAAAAAATAGAGGCAAGCAAGTCTAAGGAATTATGTGGCAGGGCTTGTTTAGACGAGGGAAGATTCATTAATTATGTCACGCTGGCTCCCTATCTTACCAATATTAGCCAGCGTGACACGAATAATGGAACTTCCCTAACAAATAAAGATTGAGCACTTTTACATCAATTTATTTTGAACGAGCAATCGAGTATGCAATCTTACGTTTTGAATTAAATATTTTATTATTTTTTAAACATTTTATTTACATAAATCGCTACATATCGTAGATGATGGAAGTTGCCTTTCGTCTCGACAAAAAAGACATTACTTGGGACCAGATGTGTTCAGATGGGGAAATTGAAGCTTTCTATCTTCAGGGAGTGCAAGATTTTTGCAAAACCGCGAAACTACACAAATTTGAAATCCCTGCCGTGATTAAAATTTGTTCGGAAATTTGGACCCCGGATAATGCTATGATCACGACAACGTTTAAACTTAGGAGACGCATAGTTCAAGAGAGATATCAGACGGAGATTGATTATATATATGCACGACTGACATAAATTTAGCTAGTATAAATTTACTGGAAAGATCCTAATGATAAAAACTGTACAGACAAATATTCTGGCAAATCGTTTGTATTTACGCTGTCTGACTTTAATTAAAATTTGTGAAGAAATTATATTAAGGAATCTCATTATTTTCGTAGCATACCAATTTCATCATGATGGATACGAATTTTACAGTATTTTATAAAGTTTTTGTAGGCACTTATAGTTTGTATGCAAAAGCAACCGAATGACCAGTGAAATTTAAACATGTACCAGATTTTCCGTTCCGGATTGTCCATACTAAATTAACACCACATCCAACAATTTCTATGCTACATAAAGTATGTAATATTTAGTCCAGTGATACGTAAATACGTGGAAAATAAAAGCATATTACAAACTATTTTTTTTTATTCCAGGAATTTAGTTCATAAGCATATACACACATTGAATCCGGATTATTGAAGTCGGATGTTTAAATTCCGGATTAAATTCGGATTCAAGAGGAGCGATACTCAAAAACCAGGCTTTTGATTAAGATTTCGGATTCTATTCCTACCTCGGATTCGGATGCCGGATTAGATTCTAACCCGGATTCGTGCGGAGCACTATTGTAAACCGATAAGTTTTAGGGGGACAACCTTTCCTGTCTGTTTACGGGTATTTACCAATTTTTGTTACCTACCTTTCAATTTCTTCTCCAAATCTATCAAAGCATGATAAACAGCGACAAACTGATGAGGACCCGATGGCCGCAAGAAATACCAAACAATTTGGAAGATAATTAAAGAGTAACCAATTTCCATAACGGTGAACCAAATTTCTTTCAAATTTTCTGTAACGCTCGCTCTGTCAATTAAACCAGATAGCGCTCGCAATTGGAAACACCTTCCAATCAAACATGGCAAAAAAACGAGGAAGCCAAACAGCCCAAAAACTTGGAATGTTCTGTAATGCCAGCCGTTTCTGAGGGGTGTGGCGCGTCCCTTCTTTTCATCCCAGGAAATAAAGTACCCAGTGTGCAGGGAGTTGCGATGTGTGGCGAAAATACTGCGACGAAGATGACCAAATGCTTCCTCACGCCACATGGTTTTTACACCCTGTTAAAAATCTTCGAAGGTGAAATTAAGCAGGTATTGATTTAATATTTGATATATATTTGATATTAAAGTTCCTACAGCTTGGCATTAAAAATATACTGGTGGGTTCAAATTTGGTATCAATGTGGTAAAACTTTAATGCTAAGGTTTTACTACAGTTCATTAAATACTTATGTATGTATCAGTAACAATTTAGTTGAGGCATATTTGATATTTACATATATCAATTTCGTTTGGTATTATTTTAACACTGTATTTCTAAAACTACAGTTTAGTACGCCTAAGAAAGTTTTTGCTTCAAAACTCCACGCGTTTTCACTTAAAAGAAGGTTGGGATTTTTTAAATATATATATAATCTTCTCGTCGAAATTGTATTTTATGGTAAAATTGTGTCGCTGAAAGGTTTGGTATAAATTTTGACAGAAGTATGTATGTAAACTTCAAGCTGGAATAAATAGTGAAGAAGTTTGCTACGTAGTTCAATCTTAACTTCATCCATAAAAAAATTTATTTGCATGATATCCAGAAGAATAATAAGAACGACTACGTAAACAATTTACGATTAAACGAATGAATATTTGATTCAACCAGTTAATTCCTTTGCTTTGAAGATTATTCCGATCACGATAGGTTCGACTTGTATGATAAGGATTTGATGAGATGCATACATGAAACCTTAAAGTTCATATGCATTTAAATATATACACATTTATATATTTGCAAACGTAGGTTTTTCCAAGGTTAAGAAAGCAATACATTTCTATACAATCTCGTATGCTGTACATAGTCCGACCATAAGTTCCCGTGAATGCATTTCCGGTGATAAAGCCCAAAGTATTAGAGCTATCTGATAGAAATTTTTGTGGATGAACAAGGTATTAATCTTGTTTAGAAATCATAACTTCGTTTTCACAATTTCCTCCACGGGCTTGTACACAAGACATAAGTCGTGGCGAAAACTGTTCGATCGCGGCACGCACGGATTTCCAGGGAAAAGCGCCAGATCTTCAGTAAGTGCGACCTCAGCCCTTCCACACTTGGGTGAAATTTAGAGCATACTTGTACCTATAATTTTCACCACCAGTCATAATTTAGGAGATTAAGGTCTGCAGATACTGAGCACCGTTCTACGGATGAAAAAAAGTCATGAAAATTCGTCTGAAGCCAGTTTTGGACAATTTTGCACCTTGCGCAGGAACAGGGTCTTGTTGAAAGGTCCAATGTCGATTTTCGGAGGGTCCAGGGTTCAGGTTATTAACGTTTGGCTTTAGGACACTCTGAAAATAATTCTTGGCTTCAACTTGTACCCTTTGCGGTAAAAAACAGAGATTTCATTTCTCCAGCCAACTTGCTCCCATGCACACCACGGTGATGACTTCGTATTGACTTCCGCATACTTAAACGGATGTCAGACTTCTGTACAACAAATATATGGCCTTTTTTTCTATTAAATTTTTTGCCAACGGTGAAAAGTCTGAAATACTTTTTGCACGAAAATTGGCGCGTACCACGATCAACCTGTGGCCGTCACGAGTTATGTCTTGTCTAATTGCCCGTGGACGAAATCTTGACAAAGAAGTTATGATTTCTAAACAATATTAATACCTTGTTAATCCATAAAAATTTCGAACAGATAGCTCTAATACTTTGGGATTTATTACCGGAAATGCATTCACGAGAACTTATGACCCCACTATGTAGAGTAATGCATAATATGTAAAGATGATTAAATATGATGGGAATAAATGTGATGGGGCCCGATCAGCTCAGAATGATTTGAAATGGTTGTTATCGTCGACGTGGACACATATCTAAATAAAAATGTATGTAATACTTTCCACGAGGCATTTTGATTTTAGGAGGATATCCACCTGCCTAAATGTATCGATTTGTAATCCTTGCACATCAACTTTAATTACAAATACTTATTAAGTTTCTACATATACCGAGGTTGAATCGGTAACACGTGAACGTTTTTGACCTTAAATTACTGGTTGAACGGCTTGGAGTGGAGGTCCCGAACATTTTTTATGTGAAAGCCCTTTTCTCGAGCTACAAGTCGGTATCGGCGATTTCAACTTTTGTACACTGATTTGACCATGGCGAGGTCAAGTTTAGACCACTCGTCTCTCAAAACTTTCCAAACTCCGTCAAAAGTTTTTGGGTGGCGGAGAAAAGATTTTATTTCAGATATCCAAAGCCGAAAAAATCCATGGGACTTACATAGGGTGACTTAATAGGTATTTCACTATCCTGGATGATTGTTATCCCGAGTCTAGCTTTTAAGTCCTTGGCGTAATCCTGGGTCAAAAGGGCGGTGTGCGATGACGCTGCGTCGTGATGAACTATCACTTTTATGGTGTCCTGGCCATTTAGTTTTGAGACATAAATCTCCAAAAGCGGTTTTAAAACAAAGTCAATATAGTACTTCGTAGTTACCTTCACTTTTTGTGGAACTTTGATAAGTGGGAAGACACCACGACCAGATAATGCACCTACCACCATGAACTTGTTGCAAAAGTTTTCCGTGTGCGGGATGGCCAATCTTCTGGAATTATTTTCTCCTTTGGTTATATAGTAAATTTTTCTCTGACTGTTCGTATCTTGTAAGGAAAATAATTCTTCATCCAACGACACTAAACAGCCACTTTTATCTTTTGTCAGGTAATTCACATAAATTTTTTTTGCAGGTCAGACGACTATTTTTTTATGCTTCCCAGTCAGCTGATTGACTTGGATTTTTCTTCTTTTTGGCTGCCCCAAAATTTTAATTGCTCGACGCACATTAGTCTCTGACACTTTGCTTAGACGAGCCACTGCTCTCTGGTGTGGTGAGTTGCCCTTAGAGGTCAATAGGTCAATTTTCTTAAGCACGGGCCTAATTAGCACTTTTCGGACTCGTGTTTGAGGCATGATGGTTTTCCTTTGGTACGAGCTTGTCGTTATTGACCTTCATTTTTAAGTACCTTATGTATCTGGCCTTTCGAAACTTGTTGTCCTTGAGTTTTGAAGTGGTTACTTATGTATGTGTACGAAGAATTAAGTTTGGAAAGTGTTTTTATGGTACCCTCTTACTCTAAGGTCAATGGTCGGGTCATTTTTGAATCTAGAGAGCTAATTTTTTGCTCAGCCCTTGTCAACAATCACATGTCGTTATGCTCAAAATTTGGAACCGAAACTCCAACCCGTTTCGGAGCAATTCAAGATCGCCCGCGTTCACGTGTTACCGATTCATCCTGTATATGACTTAACCGCCTTGGTTACAATGTTGAATCCGAGTTATGATGATTTTGATACCGGTAGTTATAATGTTATGACCGGACGGAAAAAATTCATTGCTACTCGGAATCACAATTGTAACCAAGGCGGTTAAGTCATATATTGACACCGTTTTGTTTTAAGTATACGTTTAAGAGAGCCGAGCCAGCTCGCGAGCCACTCATATAGTTCAACTCGTTTATTAAGAAACTTGGTTCGCTCGATTATTAACCTCTTTCGGACTATAAATTTTTAAATAAAATTTCGCTTCGGTACGATTTTGATTTCATAATTATACCTGATAGCTACCAATTAAAATCTTCCACCAGTTTCCAATATTCGAGTTTTTGTCAAGAAACACGAAAAATCCACTTTTTAACATTGGTAGGTATAGGGAAAATTCCAAAATTTTAGGAGAAAAATATCGAAAAACAGTCACTTTTCACCATCGAGTTTTCCAGAAAACACCGAAGAAATATTCTTTTTTTTTGAAAAACTTTAATGTCAAGGAAATTTTTGCCGTAAATACATTTGTGTATTTCGTCGTCAACGGGAAAATAAATACTACTCAAATATGTGTACTTCGCCGTTAAGCGGTTAATAGTGCCTTTTCGCCTAGCTCGGCTCGGTTCAATGGTCGGCTCGCTCCTCACGAGCCGAGCTAGCTCGAGCTCATGGACAGCACTAATTTTTTGTTTGACCAAACTTTCCCAGATGAATCATCACATCACGCGGAAAAGTTTGCAGTGTCCTCACTGTGAGGACACATATCTGACAAAGACAACCTTGGAGACGCACATTACTCAAACTCACGATCCTGATTCATTCCGGTGTGGCTTATGCAAGCTTCGTCTATCGTCACAGAAAATGTTGCAAAATCACATCCGGGCCGAACACACGAATGAGAAACCGTACCCTTGTAAAATTTGCGGAGTGGAAACTGCATCCTACAAATTGCTAAGGACCCACGTGGTACATCATCACAAAGAAACACTGCCCCACTTTAAGTGCGGAAAATGTGAGCAAACCTCAATTTCTCGGGCTCACATCAAAAACCATGAGGTAAGAAATTTTAGAAGTTCGAATCTGAAAGATTTCCCTTACTAAATTTTCTTCAAATTTTCCAGGAAACGCATAACCCTGATCGGACTAGATATTCCTGTTCCACGTGTGGAGCAACATACGCAAAAATATATTCCTTAAGGGATCACGTGAACGCCGTTCATGCAAATGTTTATAAGTATGCGTGCTATTTTTGCTATCGATTTAGTGACGGCCTTCAGACCCACGTGAGAAAAATGCATACCAAGGAAATTCCGTATCGGTGTAAGTTATGCAATTTCAAGTCTGTTAATCACACCTCGTTAATCGGACATGTGCGATTTGTTCACTGTGAAGCAACCAGTTGCTACTTTTGTGGAAAAATGTGCTGTGATATGCAAACTCATTTGACCATTCACACGAAAGAGTTGCATTTTGGGTGCAAACTTTGTCATAACTCGTTCAGGTTAAGAGGAGATTTGTGTGTTCATAAGAGAAAGTGTCACTTGTAGTGTGACCTAAGTAATTTTTAATTCTAGCAATGAATATTTACGAAATCGATTTAAGATCACTTTAATTTAAATTTTTGTTATATGCTTTAGTAGTGTGTTTAAGGGTAGGATGACGAACTTAGCAACAAACTTTTACCCCAACTTCCAACCTGATTTTCTAAGCTGAATGAAGTGATAGAATTATTCTGATTTTATGCACTTAATGGCAAATTATTTGGCTTCATATGCTAAATTCACTCTAGTGTATTGAACCAGTACTACTTGAGATAAGTCAATTTTAGTGAACTACAATTTAATTTACTGGGGTAACGTTCTAGGTCTCAATATTGCAGATATTGACCTCAAACCAATTTTACCGTGCAGCTAATTTGCTGGTGGGGCGGGAGTGATATAGGTCTTTCCGACGATTCTGTCCTTGGCGTGCACAAATTACGGCAATCTAAAATTTTGCATGAAAAATATGCAAATTTTATTTTAAAAGCGGAATTTCAGGATGAAGGGATCAACATCACCGGAAAGACCCATATCACTCCCGCCCCACCAGCATATTAGCTGCACAATAAAATTGGCTTGAAGTCAATATCTGCAATATTGAGACCTAGAACGTTACCCCAGTAAATTAAATTGTAGTTCACTAAAATTGACTTATCTCAAGTAGTACTGGTTCAATGCACTAGAGTGAATTGAACATACGAAGCTAAATAATCTATCATTAAAGACATGAAATCAGAAAAATTGTATCACTTCATTCAGCTAAGAAAATCAGGTTGGAAGTTGGGGTAAAAATTTGTTGCTAAGTTCGTCATCCTACCCTTAAGAGCTCAAACATATTTAGCAATAAGCAAAACTAATGTTATTGATCACTGATCAATGATCAGAATTATTTAATTCTGATAAATAAATATCTATATAATTAATTTTAATTACATTGTACATATTAAATAAATATTTAAAAGTTCAAAAATATATCATCTGCACCGTTTCTTGGTTAATACGGAATTTTTGAGACCATTGCTCCTCACTATGTGGATTTGGGTGGGGGTGGAATTATAAATGCTGGTATATTTATGCAGGAACGACTTGTCATTTTGTGCTATGATTTTCAATCATTTCCATGATTTTTGTCTACACTCTAAGTAAAAGTTTACAAAACTTTTATTTAGAGTTGGATAAATTTTGCTCAATTGTTGTGTCATCCACTTTTTTACTCAACCATTCGTAAAAATATCACACAACTTAGATTTACGGTGTGCCAAAATTATTTTTGTATGTACATATATCCTCAAGGGTGACTTGGGGACTTGTTATAAAGTTACACTCTCAATAATCCGGTAAAGTCACGCAGGTAATGATTTCTCGGTAATAAATTTGGTAATAATATTTTACCAGGTAGTAAAAATTCGTTACCATGATGATAATACTTTATTACCAAGCCATTACCACATGGTACAACTTGTCATTACCACTTAGGTAGAATCATATACTTGTGCTTTTCGGTAATTTTTATTACCAGATTATTTACAGTGTACGATACATTACCTCCATACTTACATCAGAGTTGTGTTAAATACCTTAAAAGTATTTAAATACTTCATTTCTAAATACTTGACTACTTAAGTGGTATTTAAGTATTAAATACTTAAATAACTGAATTTATTTTAAATATTTAAGTACTAAATACTTAAATACTGTAATTTTAACAAGATATTTAAATACTCAATTACTTAAATACCTGGATATATCTAAAGTATTTAAGTACCGGTTATTTAAATACTCTTTAAATAGTATTTAAATAGTGTTAGCATCTGAATATCCAACTCTTAATAGTTTAGACTCTCAAGCGAAATCGTCAACAAACAAATTGAGTGCTTGTGAATGAATGAATGAACAAAATTCATGTTTGTGAAAATTAGATTAAGACAAGATATGTGGAATTAATAATTTGTATTACAAGCTAAAAATGAGTAACCAATGTGAAGAAGCTTAAAAAAGATAAAACACAAATAATTTCTTTAAATTTTCAATTTAACTAAAATTTTCACGCATGTTTGATCAATTTTCAAATATTATGAAAGACGGGCTGTAATAATCTGCTTGATTTTGCCCTAATAAAATTAATCTATACCTCAGAACACCAAATGAATGCTATGAATTCGGTAATTAACAACATCCAAATTCCGAGTTTTGCATCATGCAAAAGAAAATTAGTATTCAAATAATTAATTTTTAATTACCTGCAGTATTTAAAGTATTTAAATACAAATTAGTTAAATACATTTTATATGCTCAGGTATTTAAATAATAAATGCTAAATACTTGAAATTCAGTATTTAGATTTTAAATAATAAATAGTAAATACCCAAACCCGGTAATTAAATACTGATCTTAAATACCGAAGTATTTAAATACAACAACTCTGACTTACATACGTCACATTCTTTATGCAGGATCCCTACATTTTAAACAAAAGATTGATATGCGGGTCGCGTCGTAATAATTTGGGCAGTGCACAAATGTGAGACTCATTTGGCATTTAGTCAACGTTGTTGCATTTCTGAAGTTAAGTTGTGCTGAATAGACTTAACGTGTCAATTAAATTCTCAAAAATATATTTTGCACATATCAAAATTTTGATTCCATTCTAAATAATGGAGTAACAATCAAGGAAAATTAAAAACGCTGGCTTAACCCTGTCAAATTTCTATCGACAATTACTCCACGTTGGTGGCCGACCTTAATGGATCATTGGTTAAATGACGACAAAAAGTAGTTGGATATTTCACTCCAATTTTTTATACCAAGTAAGTGGACAAAGCGCTTAAATCTTTGTCAGCAAAACATTCTTTTTTATCTTACTGAAATACAAAACAATAAATATTTACGACTACGTATGTAACGTAACTAATCCGATAAAGATAACGAATCGAGTTTCGTCCTTGTCAGAATTCTGTAAGTACATATGTATATAGTTGCAGTGAGCACGTCACCTACACACATATTCCAAAGTTAATAAACAAATCTGGTAGGTGGACACATGCATATATATTTTATTAAATATGCGTATTTATACATATTTATTTTAAAATCAAATACTCTGTCAAATTACACTTGTCAAGATTTCGATAACGTTAAATTTTCATAATTTGCTTTTCAAAATTCATTGAGTTTCTCTCTTTTCCCAATATTTTGAAACTTATTTATGTTCGTGTGTAAAAATCCTCAAATTGTGTACATTAAATTATAAGTGTAGCCGACGGACACTACATCTAAATACTTCAATTGAGGATGGAGAAGTTAAAATTTTATAACGTATTCGAAATGTGAGTATGCTAAATAACTACATATAATAAATGTCTAACAATCAATTTGTTCAAATTTGTCTAATATAGGTGCATATTTTAACTCATGCAAATTTTGAAATTATGAAAAGTAAATATAAAAAAGTTTTAAGACTTGACAGTTTATTTTCCACATTTTAATAAAACTGACTAGATTGACTGAATTGTTTTCCAACGTTTCCGATGTGTCGAGAATTTATACAAAAATACGGTAGCAATTAAACTACATTTATCGGTCCATATCAAATCACAGACTAGGATCAATCACTAATCTAAGCTAAATAAGTTGTTAAACCTTTCTGAATTTGACATTTTCTTTAAAAAATCAATTTACAATTCATTCCTTTCAACAATATTTTCATTTTCCATTCGCAAATTTGCAAATTGTGCTTCAATCTTATCCCAGAAATCGACCCGTTCCGTAAACGGTTCCAAAATCATTTTCGGGTTGACATCCATGTAAAACCATTTCATCCTGGAACGTTTAACCTCCTCGATTCCGATCGGCAGCCACGTTGTTTTCCACGAGGTCATAGCATCCATTAAATTACTAAAAATTAAAATTGTCAAAATTTCCAAAATTTGTAAATCATAATTTCCGTTTTCAAAATTATACCCCGTTTTCGCGAAGGATGCATACAGGCGGACCACTTGTTTTGAAAAGAGTTCCATTTCCGACCCTAGAGGAATTTCTGGGAAGCGGGCGGAATTAAAAATCAGTCGCATATCATCCCCATGACTGTAAAAATAAGATAAGTGTCCAGTTGACATGGTTATCATCCCTTAAGATAAGATGAGGCCTACCTAACACCTAAAGGCTCCTTGTAAACGTCACCATAATACAAATTGAGGATGCTCCATTCCCCCTGAAATCCGAGAATGAAGGGATACACGGGTGTCCACTTGGCCATAAGGAGGGCCGCCTTTTTCACCCCGTGATTAAAATACCGGTCGGAATAAAGGTTTGTTAAATTTTTAAAAGTTTCCCGCCCAATTGTTCCCCCGCCGAAGTAGTAGCCTCGAATTCTTCTTGAAATATCGACCAGTTGTTCGGGTGGGGCGTGATGATCATACAAAAGCGTTATCGGCGCAACCGTATTCCAGTCTTCGTTCATATTTCGTTGTAGTTCCGGATTTTTCATTATGCCTAAAAAATAAAAAGTTTATAATGTTGCGAAATATTTGCGTGTAGAAATTGGCATTACCAGCGGCATGAAATAGCAACCCTTCATCCTTTGTGACACCGGTAATGACGGGGACTTTGTTGAACCTCCCTTCCTCCAAAAGTTTAAGGGGTTGCTCAGCCAAAAATACGTCAGAAATTGACTCTCCTGGTCGAAGGGTTTCCACAACCGGGCTAAATTGACAGAGTGGGTCGACATTCCATTTCTATACAAACAAATATTTTGATATCATGTTAAAAATATCTGTAATAAAAAGTAAAAAATTTTGCATACAAATGGAGAAATGGAAAATAGCAATAAAAAGTGGGTCTAAAATTAATACTTAAAAATTCTCGATGTACTTAATACTTAGAAATTAATATTAGAAATTATCGATGTAAAATTAAGCGACGTTTGTTTTAAATTGCAATCTATATATTCACAGTTCCCTTCGTGTCCTGCGAATCGTAAAATAATCCACCAGGAAGAAATTAGGGGTCAAGCTTCGTAACAATAGTAAAATTAGCAAGGCGACTTTTGGTAACAAAACTTACGACGCTTAGAAACCTCGAAACGATCGTAAATTATTTTACAATACGAAGAGTACGAAAGATACGAAGGAATTATGAATACCCTAATTTGGTTTTTGCAACAACTTACCGCCAATCGAACCGACATAATCTTTTTAAAATCAGTCAGCCGTAAACATTCCGCCAAAGCGGAAGTCGGTTGTGTCGGACAGTCGAGAATTTCTGCCAATTCCTCCGTGCTTTTGACCGGATTTGGATGCAAACTCCAGGAATTTAGGACCGATCCGGATATCGTTTGAGCACCATGAAACAGTCCTGAACTGTATGGAGAAAGCACTTGGAATGAGACGGAGGCACCTCCGGCACTCGTCCCCATTAACGTGACCCGCCCCTTGTCCCCACCGAAGGAGAGAATGTGCTCCTGAATCCAGCGCAGGGCGAGGGACTGATCCTTAAGGCCGGCGTTGCCCTGGATCACATCATCCCCAGTGGATAGGAACCCTGTTAAAATTTCAGGATTTATGTATTTATGTATGATTCAAGATTTTAAATTTTTCAGGACAAAAAGTTCTTTCACACCCGGGACAAAATTTCATATTGGAAAAATGTAATTGGGGTATTCATTACCATTTCGCACAAAAACAATAAAGTAAGCACAAAATTTTAGTTTAAAAATTCATTTGCGAACTTTCGTACATATCTTCGAGGACAATATTTATGTATGCACATATTTAAGTTGTAATTTTTTTGAACATTAATGTTTCGATGGGAACATGAAAACTCGTAATAGGTATCTCTAATCCTTCACTAATTTTCATGTTGGATCATGTTGAACCTGTGAGCATTTCAAAACTATTTACATATGAACAAGTTCATTTGTACATATTTTATACGCATTCATGTAAAATGTACAGGTAGATATTCAAATTTTCATATGTGAATTTTAATATTTAAATTTGCACTTCGCGAAAAATTTCATGTACTAAGTACATAGATACAGATGTACATACATAGATAAGTACATATTTAATTTTGAGGTCAAAGTGTATACATTTTCAGATAACCCACCTATTGCTCCCAAGCGATAGTTCATGGTGACCAAAATTGTATCTTCGTCTACGAAATATCCTCCCCCATAATCACTCCCTGTCCCAAACTGGAAAAAATTTGTGGTAAATGTCTTGAATTTCTAAGAGAATATGTAAATATATTTATTATTACCTGGTACGCTCCCCCATGAATGAATACTACCACCGGTAGCAATACTCTATCCTCCTCGAGGACATAATTATTTTTGATGGCACGTTCTGGAACGAAAACGTTAAGAAACAAACAATCTTCCTCTCCCACCACGGTCTGGGTGGCACGACTAAATTGGGGGCACATATTTCCTGGTTTGGACCCATCCTTTATACCCTCCCACGATGACGCCAAAATTGCCGGCTTTTTCGTATGCAAAATATATTTTTCACATGAACAAAAAACGTTTTTTGTGGATTTTAAAATTTACCATTAAACGTCACGCAGTCATTCGTAGCTTGTAAAATCAGTAAGTTTTGTAACATATGTAATTTTACAAACTGCTATACATAAAAGGATTCATACCCTTACAACTATACAATTTTGTAAGTTTACAGAAATTAAGGATTTTACAAGGTTACCAATGACTGCGTGTGTAAATATCCTCCATAATTTTTCCAAATACCTCAAATCTTGTCACAATTTCCCCATAGGGAATTCCTTTAAAGGAAAGGTACGGTTTCCCTGCCCTGCTCAGGCTTCGTACTCCCAGCAACTTTCCCTGGCTCGTTTCCAACACAACTTTCTCCACCGTTTGTTCACCTTGACTTAAGCTTAAAAGAGCACTGCACACTAAAAACGTTACTCGATGATGACCAATGCTGAACAGCATTATTATGAATTATTTTAATTTTTGTGAAAGTCAGTCTCAAATTATTTTCACGTGAAAAGTTCCTAAAAATAAAATCGCTCACTTATGTAACTAAGATCATTAATTTTCGTGGGAATATTAATATCCAAATTTTCTTTCGTGGAAAGGAACCATGCACATTCACACAAGATTCACGCTTTCCATCTCCTCGCCAACTCGTGAATGCCAAGTGGCGAGTAGTAAAATTATCTCGGCTAGTGAATCACACTCGGAAAAGATTTGGCAGGCGATTACATAACGAAAATCTTATGCTTATACGTACTCATCTTTACGTGTGTAAGTAATATCGATGTATGGATTTTGCCGTGTTTCTTGGCTTTTTGCTCTGCATAGATACATACGTACGTGACTTATGTAAGCTCATATGTACTTACATATTTATGTATGTATGCATAAGTTTGACCCGTCTTATGCACTCGAGGTGTGTAAAGTAAAAGAATACCGCTTGTAAATTAATTTACCTATGGAGGAGAAAAGTGAACTTTTGGTTAGTTAGTTATGTATGTGTAGATATTCCGCTACATTATTGGTACTTATTACAAATGTTCCGGTTTCTATTATTAGCGAGGATGCAGTCTTGACTCTCATACATACGTATGGTCGAATTATGTATGTGTACTAAAATAAAGCCCTGTATTTTCCGAGCAATGTGGATTTACAGTATGAAAAATAAATATGTATCGTACGTCAAGAGCCAGACCGACGTAAATGACGACTAAGCCGGTCGTAAAAGTGGAAGAGAGGTTTTTATACTTTATCTGATGTGCGTAATATGTACATACCTACATGTTTTTTATGAGTGGATCTTTAAACGTGGTGATTTTTGTTGCGAAATTGTATGCACTTACAGAGATTTGTGGTTTTAGTGTAGCGAAGATATTAAGTAAATATTTAAGGGCATTGATATTGTTGTTTTTCCCGTTGTGTGCTTATTTATGGGCGTTTTTTTTATTATGTGACATAATAATATGTAAATATACTCTTAGAAATCTAGTATAATCACCATTGATTTCTCGCTGTTAAAGTTGCTACCGTGATTTTTATTAAAATTATACCGGATGTGAGAAAACTTATTACTTATCGAAATATGACTACATGGAATTACTTATCAATCCCACTTTGATAGAATCATGAATTGGTTTAATTTTAATACCGGATTTCTAAGAGTGTACATATTTATGTATTATTACTAGCAAATTCGATTACACGGTTTAAATACATACATACGTCTAGAAGTAATCATTCAACACAAATGTGCACTTAACATGGACACATGTTCCGGTTGTCAGTAATGCATTAATAACATTACTCATGTACATCTTATTTTAGGGATCATATTATAATAAAAATCGATTATCGGTCGGGCCACATTTTGCATGCAAATGGATTAAGTACATTGATGGCCAGATTGACATGAGGGGTGTGCATGTACACTGAATTGATATCTGCAAGCAGGAAAGGCTTGATTCAGAACCGTGTCGTAAAATGAGATTAGTTTTAATTACATACTCGTGAGCATGATTAATTTATGTATGGGGATCATAATTATCTCACTTTTATGAGTTCATTAAAACACTTGCCTTGACTCCTGGTCGGAAGATGAATTGGAGGATGAGGTTGTGTTATGTGGTATGAAAGTGAGCATGATGTAGTTGAACACGTGGATAAAGTGTACGTACAAACGTATGAAAATGTCGGTTTGATATACATATAGCTACTTACATGTTAAAATTCGTACTTTTTCTCCAACATTGATAGATCGTATTATGCACACTTACATACATATGTATGCATATGCAACATACTTAATCGTCTACATATATATCATATATATATTTATGTACGATGGACATATGATAAATACACATTTATTTCCCACAAACTGTAAAATATTCTTGTGACAAACATTTAAGTTTATTCATGCTCGAATTTACTTAAAATTTTATAGACCCTCAATTAAATCAAAGCCTAAGTTATTAGTAATCTCATCTGGACGGGTTCTAAATATTTTATTCAAACCCAATCAACCCCAACTATGCCAATTTTTAGTATGTATTTACTTCGCACAATTATCCTTGCAAATTTGTGTAAGCGTAATTAATTAGGCCAAAGTCATTTCGTTCGATATATTAAATTCCACAAATTTCCACCGAGCATGCATATAAATAAATGTGCCTAACTTTCTCAAATTCATCAATACTTTACAAGGTCTTAATTTTCTAATTAGGTTGAAGTAATCCAGCTTCAATAATAAATTGGTGGAAATTAGCATAACTTTTATGATTTGAATTTATTGGTCAGTTAACAACTTTCTTAAATAAATGGAACCTGGAAAAGTTTTAACACGAAAATATGTAACTTTCTTGCTTTTTAAGAAACCATGAAGTTCCCCAAATTTCAGAAAATAACTCTCCCTTCACACACCTCTTTTCAAGCTCTGCAAAGATTTGTCATACTAACTGAAAAATGTCCGGGTTGTATCACGTGGAATCGGGAAACATGGCAACCAACTCCTAAATCCAAGGGGGAAATTATCCCGTGGTGTATCCTCTCATTCGTCGTATTATTTACGACAATTGTGTATATTTGCTTAATACTGGGTCATATTGTGGTACAAAAGGCGTTAGGTGATTGTTTTGACGAATTCTCGGGTGAATATCTTTGGCGGGGAGTTGAATTTTGAACTGATTTTTGGTAGGTTGCAAGATAATACTCTCAAAAAGATATCTTTAAAATTTTAGGGTGATAGCTTCACAAATGCACCCTACAGTGCCCCCGGAGTTGGTAGAAGCCAAAAAAACACTTTCCAAACTTAATTGCTTATATAGCATGATAACCAAAGAGGTCAGAGGTGAATGATTGTTAATATAATAACCCTAGATAATCATTGCATGTAATAATAAAAGAATCCGTAATGAATCACACAACGTGGGCCTTCCATCATCGCGGATAGTTTGCCCAAAAAATGATAAATCAGACCGTGCGCGGAAAAATTAACCTGCTGACCTTGAAAGTTGACCCACCGGGTCAAATGCAGCTTGAGGGTAAAGCTGGAAGTGTCCTAAGTAATATTAAAACAAACAGTCAAGATTTTGTGTCAACAGTTTTATAGAAGGACCCGAGCTAATCAGCTGTCGCAGAATCCTAAAAAACTCGTGAACTTATTTGGAAAATTAATGGTCAAATTTTTTCGAAAATAAATTTTAATAATCTTTTTGTGTCCCCTGCTGCAGAACTATTTTATCTACAAGGTACAAGTGACAAAATAATAAAATTATTGCGTTTTGGTTAGTTAAATTATTTCTGAAGTTCGACATCGAAAACGACGGGAACTTTTCCAAAAAGTTTATAAGGTCTGATGAAAACTCAGTCCGTGGGGTGTAACCACTTATCAAAATTTTGTCAAAAGTACTTACAGTGCAATATACTATATGTACCTTGGATAAAAACCACGTTAGGGATTTTTAGCATCAAAGTCGTAAAATGTGGGGGCCTTAAAAGTGGAAGAGTTGCGTTAAAGAGCGCATTTCATTAGGACAAGTATGAAATTAGACTGTAAAACGGACTTAAAAGATAAGCATGAGGCAAAAGTGGTTTTATATAGTGAAAAGCATGCTAAGTCCCTTAAAAATAGTCGCAAAAACTATTTTTGCATCAGGACCTCAGAAAAAAATATTTTGTTCAACGCCATTTTATAAGAACACTGGTTTGGAAAACTAAAAAAGGACACCTCTCCAAATTTGACCTTGCCTCATTTCGCAGAGTACACAAAATCGGAAGCCCGATATGCTTACCTATAGTTTGAGACATGGGCTTTCAGATAAAAAAAGTTAGAAATCTCTACGTCTAAAATCCATCCCGCAATTAAGGCATGAATTCGTCAAAACCATGTCCTAACGCCTTTTGTACATGAAAAAGATCCAGATGTTTCGATCACTGCGGGGATTGTGCTTCTCAATATGACATTTCTCCAAATTTTAACGAGTAGCATCATTCTAACCTGCACTTTCAAAAAGGAAGATATTTGCTTCGTCTTATGGAACTTACAAAATATTTGGAAGTATTGCAATTGCATTCGTAAGTAGACATCAGTTATGGCTTACTTTTACCTTATTAAGGTTCTATTGGATGACGCGTTCATATTGATGTGTCATAGATTTTTATCTCACTCTTCTCATATTCTTTTACAATTAATGCATACCTATTTCAAAAATGGAGTTATTTCGATTAGTTTTGGACTAAGTACAAATTTTATTAAATTTGTTTTGTCTTGTTTATTTTATAAAAATTTATTATTTAATTATGCGGAACGTTTATTTTTGGAACTATGAAACCTTAAACTTTAGATTTTTACTTATTTATGTTCAAGTATCAAAAGTTGCATTTATCTCAAAACTGGGTTTAACTTATGTCATTTTAGAAATTTTCATTAAGAGATACATATTTAGTAAGGGTAGAGTGACATGAAAAAATCTATGACGAAAATATGTATCCATTAGGGACTCGCAACTTTATAAAAAAATCGTTTTTTCGCTCTTTTCTCAAAACACTTTTTTCTCAATTCCGCATGAGATTTCGTTCTTTTCTCTCCTTTTCTCACCAAAAGTAATCTATATTATAAGCTGGAAATGTTTGTCTGCAACGGAAGTGAAAGTAATTTTCCGAAACGGAAGTGAACGTGGAGAAAGTTAAGTTTCGAATGGCCCGACATTTCCAGCTAATTATATATGTAAATACCATAAGAAATTATGTGGAATTATGAACAATCCCACTAAAATTTTAAGATAATCAAATAAACTCTCGCCCGGTGGAAGACGGGCTTAAACGCTAGTATTATCATAACCTGGATTTTGTTTTTAAGCAAAAATATTTGGAAAAATTTCGAAATCGCACGCGGAATTGAGAAAAAAACGTTTTGTGAAAGAACGAAAAAAGCTTAATGTTTTATACAAACTGGGCAAATTTTAGAAAATGAAGCAGCCCAAAAGGACAACATGGTCGGTGTGGTCCTTCACGGTCTTATTTTGGCCGCCTTAACTTTCCCCACCTTCGCCCCGATAATCCCCATCCTTCTCGATAACGCAGACCCGACGTATTTTCTCCTCCGAAACGTAAACTTTCTCCCATCCCATCTCAAACTAATGGTTCGAATTCTACTAACAATCGCTATCGTGTCCCAACTGTCCATCGCTGGCATCGGATTCGTCATCATTTTCTCCAACGTGCTTCTTCTGATGGCCATTTCCTTCAGAAGCATAACACCTTTGAATCCATGTAAATCCGAATTTTTCGAATTTTTCCCGCCATACCGCCAACTTCAAATAATCAACCGCGTCTGGAACAACACTTGTTACTTGGCGACATCCTTCGCACTGTTTTTCCCGCTCGCCCTGGGCGTTCTCTTGGGCTACACTTTGATCAAGTTGAGTTGCACGATCTCAATCCCAATGACGTTCATATTTGCGGCGTTATTTCTAGGCGGGGTGTCCATTGCACACTTTACGGTGCCGGTGATGGTGGAAATTACGATACGATCGAGGGATTTCAAAAGGACGTGGAAATCGTGCAGTTTGTCGGCCTATGGTGAAAAACAAATAAAAAGTTGTGACACTTTAAGGGTGTATTTGGGAGGGTTTTGTGTCGTAAGTGAGAAATCGAGAGGGATATTTTTTTCTATGGTGATGTATTATACGTTATCTTTGATTATAGCGTTATAGATTAGCGATGAAGTTTGTGAGATATAAATAGCGCAATCAGTTTCTCATGGAGAAAAATATTGATTTGTACACTAACAAAGGAATCTATTTTCAAGCTACGTCGGGATTTTTTAACGAAATTGTTCTCTATGATTTAATGCCAGTGTTTCTTTTTGTGCGCACGAAATTATTTTTATGCATGCATGGTGCATAAAAATGCACAAAAATGCACGAAAATGTATGAAAACGGATAAAATTAACTGAAATGCAATTTATGCAGGAAATTTCACATTTTAAAGAAATTTTATATTTTATTACTCTTTAAAATGGAAGTAAGATTGAGTTATCTAAACTTATATACCGGTGAGGTTATAATCTGTCCTTACCGATGTATGTATGCATCCATAAATAGTTCCCATTGATTAAGCTAGTAAAACTTATCCTTTCCATTTAGAATTTGGTTCATATATCGAATAGCATGGAATTATGTATTACTCGCCAAAAATTTCAAACACATGACGAGTATCTGTTTTGTGCATTCATTTTCAAAACTGTCGTTCATGGTTCGTAGTGAGAAACAAAACATTGTTTTATACTAAAATATGTACTAAAATGACGAAGAAAGTATAATACAACAGCACAACAACTTATCAATTAATCAAATATTTAGAAAAAGTGTATTATTTCAATATTATTTGCAGGCAAATGATTTTCGTGCATTTTCGTGCATTTTCATGCACTTTTCCGGATTTTTGATGCGTGTTAAAAAACATATTCGTGCACTAAATTTAATTTCGTACAGGTGTTTTTTAACAGCAGAAACACTGTTTAATACAATATTAATTTCCGAGAGAATATTAAAAAACAAGTTTGAATCTTGCAGGGGAAAGGAATTACAGATATTCACAAACATAAGCCTGTATTTAAATAGATAATGCAATATTTTCGCATCCCATCGCCTTGGCAACTAGTGAATGCTATTTTAAACTTATTAGTATATTACATGCATAGGACCAAATAAGATTGCAAGCAAAAAATATATTTAAATTTTTAAAGCATTAAATTGTTTTAATTTGATAGCTGCCAATTTTTGTTATAATTTTTCGAACATACATACATAATGCAAAGTATTTCAACGACTTAAATAATCATGAGCTGTAATTTATAACGGTAATTTTGTATTTCTAATTTGTAAATTAATTCAAATTATTATTCAACTTTAGGCAATTAATCAAACAATTAATCAGCATATTTAGCTATAGTGATTAAGTCAAATTCTTAAATAATTAATCTTAGGGTTGATATCAGAAACATTTTTCACAATTTGTTTAAACTGCTACTTCTACTTTGTAAATTGATCATACTAATTTTGAATTTTATTCACATAATTAACTAAATAATGGTCAACGTACATATATAGCACGTGACTAAATCAACTTCTAAATTGAGTTTAAAATCAATTTAAATTGCGACACATAACTGCAAAAATCCCCCCTGGCACCTCCACCCACAAGCGGCGAGGTCTTTGCAGACCTTGCCGATCCCACACTCGTAGTCGGGATTTTCCCCAGTACATTTTGGCGCCGTGCAGATACAAGAGATTGTAGAATTAACGTCACCAACGGATCTTGATTGTGGGATCGCCAATCTGGGAGCAATTATCACTCCGAAGATAAGCATGACGACGAAAAGTACACGCATCCTGTAAAAAATAGTAATATCGAAATTACATCAAATATGTATTTATGTATCAGACGGTTGCGGTTTTTGACATGATCAAGGCAAAAGTTCTGACTTTTATACGTTGAATTTTGAATTGGATTTAAATGTTTATAAGTTGCAAAATTTTGTGGAATTGAATTAATTACAAAATTTTAAACTTTTAACCTTAGTTTCTACGGAAAAGGGATTTATATAATTTATTTAGCAAATGTGCCTTACTTGTCAGGAAATTAGTGAAGATGTTAAAAGTTTGGTATTAACTGGAGGTTCGGTAGTTCAGAAATAAGGCTCATCTTAAGAATGTGACTACTTTTATGGACTAATTATTGCAAAATATATGTACATCTTTTAAGGTACGAATTATAGGGAAATTTAAGCATGGTTGGTTACACATACATACATATATACAAATGTACGTATTTTTGCGCATTATGTCTAAGGAAAAATTTCACCATACAAATGTCTTGTACAATTTTTTATAAATTAATACCGACCATGAACAAGAACATGTTTATGTGCATTTACAATTAGTTAATCGATGGGGTACATATATATATACTGATTAATTGACGGATTGGTTAATATTGACTGTGCCCAATTTGACTAACGTACAAATGCATGCTTAATACTCAACAATGGGCTGGATTGAACAAGTTCTGTACATACTCAAGTAACGGTGGTGTACGGTTTTAACATGGATGTATAAGGATGAAGCGACGAGAGCTCTTTGTTAATAGAGTAAGGGGGATAACTTCAGGCCCGTGCCTGAGTGGTGGCGACTGTGTCCTATAGAAACTAATATAGCGAACTTGCACGCCACATATAGGACACAGGCCTTCTTTTCATCCAGCCTCAAATTGTGTCTCAGGTTCTGTGGTAGTTATTATTTTCTCTGTCAGAGCGCTCCCCTTCACTCGTTTTGATCGAGTCTCCAATTTTACTATGGTGTTACGAGGCATTGGGTTTTAAGTATCGAAGTTATTTGACAGAAGCATTTAGATAAGCCCGTTAAAGTTCAAGTCATGTTGTGATCACCGCATAAATTTGCTTTGTAATGAATACATCTATTTATTCATAAATACGTCCTTTGTATGTAAGTGGATTAATATGAGCTCGTCTTTCTAATTTAATAAGCAGCATGCAAATTAGTTGCATATCTGTATATAAGAATGATGCACAATCACCTCATACATAAATTTGCGTTGCAATGGATGCTGAATGCACTTATTTATGCATACCTTATAAATACATTGTAAATGATATGTAGTTATCTGGCTACTTATTTACTAAGTAGCATGCAAATTAGTTGCATAAATGTATGTATATACATATAAAATCTATTCCTGGCACCATAAAAAAAATCTGCACGCGTACATGTCCCTACTTATTTTTCTAACTCTGGATTGAGGCAGAATTTGTTTATTAATTGGTAGATTGTGCAGCAAAATTTTAGCAATATCATATCGTCACGGCCAGAGATTGCGGAATCGGGAAGCATATGCTCCCACAGAGATTTATGTACGTACTCCTTTACTTACACAATGTTATATATTATTCCCCACTTCTCCTCACAGGACTGTATTTACATATATTTAAAATTACCCCGTTTCAATCAATGTTCACATGGACGTGCCCCTAATTAATTTGCATTGTCTATCTATTTTAATGCAGATGACGGTATTACTGTACTGGTCAAATATTGAAACCGTACCATGCATTGAACTTTGGACTTGTGTGGTGTGATGATCCGACCACTAAAATCCAAAGTTCCTTAATTCGTAAAAATGACCATCTTGAAAGTACTTGAAATTCCTATGTATATGTACGTAACAAAAATACATAATGTCATTCGTCCACTAATAATAGCGGTCTCCAAGTACAAAATTTTATATTTTGACCAAATTAGAATCAAGGGATCAGAAATCTATGCATAATTAATTTTATTTAAATTAGGAAATGACACGATCTCTCTCTCTCAATGGTCATTCTTGGTAGAGATATGATAGATCCAAAGAGGAGAAAACGCTTACCTTAAAGCTGAAAAATTTTACGTCCTCCAAATTAAAATAATTCGCGCTTTGCGAGGAGCTGCTTTCCATCGTGCTAATGTCCCAAAGCGTGAGGGGAAATACACTATTCGAGACGACATGGGTCACCATGAAGAGCATTTCACGTTGAAGGTACAGTGGAATTATTTGCGCGTGTCAGGTCATTTGCATGAATTTCACTATACCCATTTTAGACGATACGGGAATATCATATTGAATAGTCTAACTAATGCGTCAATGACTCGCACGCACGAATAATTCCACGGTAACTGCGCTGCAAGGGTGGGTATGACAGATCGCTTCCTTTGCAAATTCGATATTAATTAAACTGGTCATATTTATACTCAATAGTTTGTCCAATATCTGACAGCATGGACTGGGACACCTCAATTATAAGTTTTTTTCTGCGTTTTTTTTCTTAATGATGCCAGTGACTTTTTCGTGCTCAGAACCTGTGCTTAGAATAAGTGCAGGGACGCCGCGCCGTGGTAAATAAGTTGAGGCTAAAGGATGAACGATTATATGCTACATACATCTAGCGAGTCGGAAACAATAAATAGGTTTATAAGTTTATAAATAAGTTTATAATACTTAAATAAGCCGAGGATGAGTATGTAGATATTTGTTCGTAAACTTGCTGTCCCTGTTTCTAGTAAACACTTCGAACTTGTTAGAATGTAAGTATTCAAATTATTCTCATCATTTAAACTTGTTTAGTTAAGAAGTACAATTTATTTTTGTATTGACTAAATTCATTTGAACTATTATTTATTGAATATTAAATAATCCATCAAATAATTCATCAATATAGCACATACATAACTAAATCAAATTCGTACTTAATTTTAAGATCAATCTAGTTAGGTAGGTAGGTTTTATTCAAAGATTGATGTAGCGTTAGCTTTTACAATCATACTCATTCATTCGTTTCATACAAAAATACTTTCATACATACATAGTTTCATTTATACTACACAAATCAATCAATTAATTAAAGTATGCCTCAAGTTGAGGGCGTGATCCTCAAGTAGCACACGGCATCCCAATACAGGCTAATTGCATACAATAATAAATAACGTGACAAGTATATAATTTAATGATAATATATATGTGTAAGTAGTAGGGATGCAGAGGGAAAACCGAACATTGGATTCGGAAAACCACTACATGTCCTGGGAAGGTAGCCCAGAACACCATTTGGTCCCTACCACATATTCACCAGGTAGGAGAATGTATGGCAGAGATCATAGGCGGATTCCGTGGGGTTGGAGATATCCAAATGAGGGTGGCACCTGCATGCGGAAGCAGACAGTTGAAGGTTGTTGGGCGGGGGGTGTCCACGGACCGTGGGATCATGCCCACGTCCCCCATGGAAGCCGCAGCCGGGGCCGATGACCCCCCCACTTGCCCCTTCCCCCATCTCAACACAACCAGGTCATGGGACCCCCGTAGACCCGACTATGCTGCCCTCCGCCATGCACGACCCCCTCCGTCACTTTTCCGTCAACCACTCCCCACGGTCACCACCCCGATTTACCAAACAAAAACCTACCTGGGGAGTCCCTCCAAAGCGTAGATCCTCCTGTGCACTGGGTCCGGCGAATCCATCTTCGCCTGATGGCTCAGCTTGTCGTTGCTGGGACGGGTGTGGCAGGGGGTGTCACTTGGCACGCAGGTGGGGGGTGTGAGTGGACGAGGCTCACATGGCGAAAAGGCCTTGGGACACACTTTACTTGCCCTGGCACACCCGCGACCCAGATGGAAGAGGATCCAGATGCAGAGCGAGAGAGAGATACGTGGTGCACAAGAGGAAGCTTGGAAAGAACTTAGTTAGGTAAGAGACATTATTCATAATTTAACCTCCTACAGCGATATCCAACGGTCCCCCTTGGCACCGTCACCCACAACCGTCGAGTGACTGGAGCGAAGGCAGTGTTAAAATAACACTCTTCTTAAGAAAGCGATGACTTTTATGCACTAATTCTTGCAAATAGATACCTATTATTATGCAGGTTGGAGAACCATACATACATACAAAGATGTGAATTTATTTAATGCACATTATTAATACATAAGTAACACAAAATTGCATAAATCCCAGACACAGTGCAATTTTTAAATTAGTACATATCATAAACATGTTTTTCCTAGTCGTAGGGGTTCATTGGGTGATATTGTTTGCATAAAATTTGACTAACACGAATACAGACATATACCGCTTTATTGGCCAATTAGGTGATGCTGATATTAATTAAAATGTGACCAATTTGATAAGAACATACATATTAATATCTGTATTAAGTACATATATATTTAATACTCAACAATGAGCATACTGTATTTTGCTCACTGCATGCAGAAGTAACGGGTACATTTGTTTGTTTTTAAGGATTCCATACATAACTATGTACGTAAAGGTGCGTTTATGCTTCACGTAATCGTCACGTCTCCTCCTCCAAATCCGATTTTTTGATTGGTTAAAATTTTTAATTGTCGTAGTGATAATTTAGTTCAGCCAATCAAAAAATCGGATTTGAAGGAGGACGTGACGATGACGTGAAGCATAAACACCACTTAACCCTGTGAAAGGTCAACTCATGTTGTGTAAGATCACCTCATAAATTTTCTTCGGAATGAATGCATGTATTTGTCCGCATACATAGATTCTTTGTAAATTTTATGTACTTATTTGGCTAATTTAATACTCAGTATGCAAATTAGTTGCATACATATGTACATGTAGTTGAATGATGTTCTGCTGGTTAGGTATTAAAATTTAAAAAATAACAAATATCACAATTCCCACGTGTACATAAATATCCCTCCTTAGCTTTCTAATTCTGGATTGAGGCAGAATTTATTTATACATTGGTACAATGTGCAGCAAAATTTTAGGTACCTCATCACTGCAGAGGTTGCGGAATCGTGGGGGCATCGGGTATCATCCCGCAGAGATTTATATAAGCATTCTCATTCTTCCAATGTTATTAAACTTAATGCCTTCCCACATGGCTGTATTCATTGTACACATTTATATACGCATAAAAATACCCCTTATCAATCAAAGTTCACATACACGTATCCCTAATTAATTTACCTTGTGAGGATTAATGCAGAATTTATTAATGTAATTACTGATCGAATACGGAAATTGTCCCATCACTTACTTAATAGCTTTGAACTTTGGATTTTTGTGGTCCGATGATCCTACCAAGGTTCGTCTTTACACTGACACAAGATGACGCTAATAAACTGGCAAGAATCCCAAACTTTCTTTCGATATATGTATGTAGACAAATACGTATACCCAATCAGCCACAACATGGTTCAGGATCAATGTAGGGGTCCTAAATGAACACCTAGAGGTGAGCCAAATGCTCAGTTGAGCCGAGTTTGCTCGGGCTCGGCTCGGCTCAACTGAGCTTGAGCGAACCGAGCTTTTTCAAGTCGAGCTCGAGCGAGCCGAGCTTTTTCGAGCTTTTCCTGAGTCGAGCTTGAGCGAGGCGAGCTTTTTTCGAGTCGAGCTCGAGCGCGCCGAGCTTTTTCGAGATTGTTAGGAACCGAGCTTGAGCGAGCCGAGCTTTTCAAAATCGCTGCTCGACTCACCTATGTACGCTGGTTTTATTTCATATGAAACCTTGATGATTTATCCTGGAAAATTTATTTATTTATTTATACGTCTAAAACGAAGTAAAAATGTTTCTACTTGGTCCACACAGTTCGTTATCACTTCCATTTGAAAACTTATGTCGTAGCTTTTAGTCCAAAGTATTTGAATGGAGCGGTAATAAATATGCAATTTGCAACGGGCGACCACAGATTTGGCAGATATTTGCATCCGAGGAGGATAAAATTAGGAAAACATAAAACTTGATGGCGCATTTATCCTCTTCGCATATGCAAACCTGTGGACTTATGTACTGATCGTCTCTTTTGCAAATTTCATATTAATTAAACTTGCCATCGATTGACACTAGTTTGTCCGAAATCTGAGAGCATGCGCTCGGAGACCTCCTTTGTCAGTGTGGGGTCCCAATTTTTTTTTTACTAATGATGCCACCGACTTTTTCGTTGTCGAAACCTGCATGGTTTCACTGTAGTTATTTAAGGCGTAAGTATGGAAGTTTATACACTACATCTATAACGGGACAGCAATAAATAATTCAACGTTTTACTTAAATAAGCTGAGGATGAGTATGTAGATATTTGTTCGAAATTTGCTGTCCCTGTTTCTAATATATATATATGTAAATACTTAGAACTTGTCAAAATGTAAGTATTTAGTATGCAAATGATTTTACCTTTATCAGTTATGAGTTACAATTTAATTTTGTATTGACTAAATTCATTCAAGCAATTATTTATTGAATTTATCAAACAATTCGTCAATATAGCACATAATTAAATCAAATTCGTACTAAATTTTAAGGTCAATCCAGATAAGAGACATTTTTTCAATTTAAATTGCTACAGTGATATCGAGCAATCCCCCTTGGCATCGCCAACCGCAACCGGCGAGTGATTTGCATACCCGATTACCACCACACTCGACGTAAGGGTTTCGTCCAGAACATTTCGAGGCGATGGAGACACAAGCAAAACTCCCCTGAGGATTTCCAATCTGTGGCATTGCCAACTTCGGTACAATCATCACTCCAAAAATTAGCATGACAGCGAAAAGTACACGCATCCTGTAAAAAATAATATTTGAATTTACAGAAAATATAACACGGTCATTTATATACGTTGTTTGACTCGATTTTAAAATTTGAACTTGACAAAATATCTAATTTGAATTTTTATAAGGTGTAAAATTTAATTAAATTGAATCAATTTCGAAATTATAAATTCATTTTGCATGTAAAGAAGTATTAAATAATTTGCTTACTTTGTATATATGTAGTAAATTGGGATGGATGTAAAGAGTTAAATTCAGGTATTGGCTGGAGCGAAGGCAGTGTTGAAGTAACGCTCCTCTTAAGAAAGCGATGACTTTTATGCACTAAATTCTTGCAAATATGTAGATATTACTTGCTAATCTATTGGATTTGGTACGTATTATAAGGAAGCTTTTGTACACAGGTATGTATTTATGTATAGGTTGGAGATCTATGCATACAACATTTATTTTACATACATTATAAGTAACAAAAAATTGAGCATAGTGTATTGGATTCAGTAAATGCAGAAGTAACGGGCATGTACTTTTTTAAGTATTGCATACATAACCATATAAACAACCCCGTGAAAGGTCAAGTCATGTTGTGAATGATCACCTCACAAATTTGCATGCCAATGAATGCATGTATTTATTCGCATACATATGTAGGTACTTTGTACATAAGTAATATGGGCTTATTTGGCTAATTTAATAAGTAGTATGCAAATTAGTTACAATGTAGATATGTATCGGTTTGTGCTGCTTGTAACTAACAAATTGTGAGGTATTAAACTCAAAAAAATAGCACAGTTTCTTCGTGTACATGTCCCTTCTTAGCTTTCTAATTCTGGATTGAGGCAGAATTTATTTATTGATTGGTACCATGTAAAATTTTAGATGCATCATCACGGTCGTTGCGAAATCTTGGGGGCATCGAGCACAGAAATTTATGTATTCCTACTCTTGCAATGTTATTAAACCTCACTTTTTCCCACAGGACTAAATGCATTTGTTTTACGAATTTATATTTATATATCTATATCTGTATATACATATGTATATATATAATTACCCCCATAGTGATCAAAATTACCCTACACTTGTCGCGAATTAATTTGCATTTTCTGGATTGATGCAGAATTTATTAATGTACATATCGAATATGGAAGTTGTTTGTACTATCACTTCAAAGCTGTGAACTTTGGATTTGTGTGATCCGATGATCCCACCGCACAAATCAAAATTCGTGACACCAAATGACGTTTGAAAATATATTTCTTCACGTATATAAAAATGCTGACCTTACTTTTTGTAGAGGGGATGAATTCAGTATCACTCTGGAAAAGGAGCAGAAATCCTCAGCAGCTTACTTTGCAGGTATGTGTATCAAATCCCCGTGCGACTTTTTCCTTGGCAAGACTTGCAGGGATGCCGTTGTATCTAATTTAAATCTTAAGTATGGAGGATTATACGCTACATCTAACGTGACAGCAACAACTAATTCATTATTATACTTAAACAAGCTGTCAATGCAAGTCTTTTACGTGTACAACTCAGATCTGGTTGGGACCAATTTTATTTTGTTCACCATAAAAAATAAGCATACCCGTATTTTTTCATTTTTCATAATGCGCTAATTTGAGCGCGAGGCGCGAATTTTAAAACATTTTTCAGCCAAAACCTCGGTTTTTAAAAATTCTATAAATTTTCGAATGTTAGCGCGAATCCAAAAATTCGAAAACATGTCTCCTCAGAATGACTTACCTGACATAAAAATCCGAATGCACTATTTTTTGAAAAATTAAAAATTTGAAAGAGTTTATAATTGTAATGAATTTCAAAAAGTGGCAAAAAATTTTGAAATTCAAATTTAGAGACAATTGGATTTTTCATGTCAGCTAAGTCATTCTGAGGAGACATGTTTTCGAATTTTTGGATTCGCGCTAAAATTCGAAAATTTACAGAATTTTTAAAACCCGAGGTTTTGGCTGAAAAATGTTTTAAAATTCGCGCCTCGCGCTCAAATTAGCGCATTATGAAAAATGAAAAAATACTGGTATGCTTATTTTTTGTGGTGAACAAAATAAAATTGGTCCCAACCAGATCTGAGTTGTACACGTAAAAGACTTGCATTGTGAGTGTATATATGTATTTGTTCGTAAATTTGTCGTCCCTGTTTCTAATAGACTTGTCAGAAGTAATGTGCATTAGTATCTACTATCTAGTATGCAAATTATTTTTTTAATGATTTTAACTGTTTCAATTATGCGCTACAATTTCATTTTGTATTGACTATGTAAATTAATTCAAATTACTTTTTATTGAATTTTATATAATTTACCAAACAATTCTTCAATATAGCACATAATTAATTCAAATTCGCATTTAATTTTAAGGTCAATCTAGGTAGGAGACATTTTTCACAATTTAAGCTCCTACAGTGATATCCAAGAATCCCCCTTGGCACCGCCACCCACAACCAGCGAGAAATTTGCATATCCGATTGCCACCACACTCGTATTGAGGGTTTGCTCCAGTACATGGCGCAGCGATGGAGACACAAGCGGTACTCCCCTGAGGTTGTGGCATGGCCAACTTCGGAACGATCATCACCGCAAAAATTAGCATGACGGCGAAAAGTACACGCATCCTGTAAAAAATGAATATTGGAATTTACAGTAAATGTAAGACAGTTATGTATGTACATACGTTTTTTGACGCGATTTAAAAATTGAAACTTTTCAAGCTTTATAATAGTTATCTAATTTGAATTTTTATAAATTGTAAAATTTGCTTGAATCGAATCAATTTCAAAATTATGAACTCACTTTGTATGTGTGTAAAGACGTATTGTATAGTTTGTCCTTGCAGGAAATTTAGAAAGAGTTAAATTCAGGTATTGACTGGAGCGAGGCCAGTATTGAAATAATGCTCCTCTTAAGAATGTGACCACTTTTATTCGCCAATTCTTGCGAAACACTACTTACTAGCTTATCCGCAATGCGATTTATTTATATACAGGGAAATTTATATATTTACAGAAGGTTGATTGTACGTATGCACCTTATTCACGTTGTATGTAGAACAAAATTGCACTGTACAAAAGTCCTGAAATTTTTACGATTTTCAGTGTTGAATACACAAGCGTGTACAAAAACCTCTGAAAGGTCAACTCGTGTTCTGATCATCTTATGTATAAATTTCCTTTGCAATGGATGTATTTATGCTTATACATATATACATATGTATTTTGTAAATACTATGTACTTATCTGACCCAGTAGGCAATTCGTTGGTCGAATTCTCTGCGAACATCGCGAATTTAGAGCGAATTCGCTGCAGCGAAAAATCGTTGCGATTTCGAGGGCTATTTCGCCTAGAACCCGAAACGACTTCGCAACGATATATTTCTCATCGAAAAATCGAAGACAATTCGCTACGAATTCGAGTGTGAAAAATCGCTAGCTTTTCGAGCAAAGAATTGTTCATGCGAATTCGCAACGAATTCGGAACGACTTCAGAATTTTATTGTCTGTATAAAATTTGAGCAGCGATTTCACAACGAAATCGCAACTACTCCTCGCCTTTCGATCACGTGCCCTTCGACCGGCAGGTCTTTTAAGTAAACGATCACAATGGCGGTCATTTAGCTCTGTTTTCGACGTCGATTCGATAGAGATTCTCTGCGATTCGATGCTGGTGCATCGCTACGATATCGCAGAGATTCGTTGTATTTTTGCCTACTGGGGACTAATATAATAATTAGTGCATGGATATTAATATCATCTGTTACTTGTAAGATATATGTAAATTTGCAGAAAAATCTACACGTGTACTTGTCCCTCCTTACTTCTCTAATTCTGGATTGAGGCAGAATTTGTTTATTAATTGGTACAATGTGCAGTAAAGTTTGAGATACTCATAATGGTATCACTGCCAGAGGTTACGGAATCGTGGGGACATCGGGTAGCTTGGCACCACACTCGCGAAGTTTTTTTTCTATTCTTGCCATGTTATTAATCTCCAACAAGGCTGTTTTATCTGTATTTGTAAGATCATCCCTTGTCAGTCTGAGCTTAAACGTGTCTCTAAGTTACAGGATAGGATTAATACAGAATTTGTTAATGTACTGATTGAATATGGAAATTATACGATGGTATAATTTCCATGACTTGATAACTGTGAACTTTGGATTTGTGTGGTCCGATGATTCGACTACGCCACTCCAAATCCAAAGATCCTTTATCGTAGGAAATTTATTTTCACAATAAAAAGGAAAAGTTGATCGTACTTAGATTTCCTGCATACAAAAATGCCGACCTTACTTTATATGTAAAATAACCCCTTATCAATCATAGAGCTTGCACGTGCCACTAGTTAATTCGCATTTTCTGGATTAATGCAGAATTTATTAATGCACTATGTAATAGAATATAGTGTGTGTGCCAGTACTTCGTAGCTACTGGACTTTGGATATGTGTGGTCTGATGGTCCTACCAGACAAATCCAAAGTTCCTCTGGTCCAAAATTTACAAGAGAAATGATATTAATAAAGTTAATAATATATGCGCTGCACATACATACATACATGTAAACCCCAACCTTAGTTTTAAGATGAAGATGTACATAACTTTGAATATGCTTGCAGAAATTCGAGTCACCTCGTGGTAACTGTTAGCCATGTGGACGATTTCTAAAGGAGTAAGGACTTCTTTAGTTTTCTAAGGAACTGTGCAGATAGCATGTGATCGATTATTTGGGGGTAGAGGTCATACTGGACATTTTTTGTATCCACTTTTGACAGTGTACCGTGCGCAAAATTTAATTAGGTGGACAAGGGGGCAGTATTTGTTTGGGGTGGCCAGTAGACAGTTGGCACTGAAATTCGAAGCAATCGCAGGAAAAGGTTTTACAAGTTATATATGTATTTCCCCATTTTCTATTTCTACATGTTTGTTTCCAACCGGACAGGAAAACTTTTGAGTGTCCAAATCATGGTTGGAAGTGGACATGTATTTTGAGTGGACAAATGGACATAATTTTATTGGGTGGCCAGTGGATCATTATTTTCTGAGTATACGGTGAATTGGTGGAAACTGAAATTATCTATAAACAATGGAAGCTATGCTTCGACAATTACACAGGTCACTCAACATAAGAATGATGTCAAAATTCTAAGAAAATCTATCACATCCTTTCTGCGCGGCCCCATTTAAATGTTGAAATGCTCTTTATCATAAAAACTATACTGTGGAATTGTTTATCGAAGGTAAGCACAGATTCAAAAACCTTGATAAATTTTGTAAATAAGGGGAACACAAATCCAACCACAGTGTGAAAAATCGGTTTAATCAAGTAACGCGACCGGTTTCGTAGTAAACTTTATCTTGATCTGGCGTTTTGCAAGTGATGGTCGATTTAAAGTTACGTATTTCCCTTTTTTAATTCATTTGACTTAAATTCCTTGCTTTCTCGAATTGTTCAAGTGATATCCAAGTTCAAGTGGCAATCCAGACAGATACAGTCGGAAGGAAAGTTAGACAGATTTCACATCTATCTTCTCATCACTGATCTAACTTCATTCAGGGTCAAGAAGACGCCAATGGTTGGAAGGATCGGTAATGCCGGGTTCTTCCAACTTCATTAAGATTATCTGCTTCAACAATATGTACTGTCAACTTGTCTAATTTTTGTCAACTCTTCCTCAATTTTTGACCGTTCTTACCTAAGATTAATTATACGCTTTTAACGGAGCCCCTACATAAAATTATAAAAATATAGTTGTAGCAAATTTATCAGCCTTAAGATTAGCTTGACCAGGTCGATTCCCACCAGGCCAGTTCGTTAAATCGTCTTATCGTGAAAATTTAAATATATTTAAAACAATTTATAAATTTTTACAAATATATTTAATTATAATTAAAGCACTTTATGTAATAATTTAACAATGAGGTGAGTAAATTGATCAGTTTATGACATTAATTGTAATAATTACGGATGACTATATAGAGAATAAAGATGACACAGTTTTAGGTAACTTGGAAGTTTGTGTCAGAAAATTGATCACTTTTTCCATGCATGCTCGTCATTATCGTGCCAAATCTGTAAACAACAATTGAATTCATCAAATTTGCATGTACATAAGAATCACAATAATTGTGTAAAATATTGAGCTTTCATTGTACCATGCATAAGTCAATTCTGAAAAATAAATCAAGGAATTTGTAAGCTAGAATCACAACGTTGTATCTGCAAGTAAAATTTAAATCTGCACCCATTCACTAAAGTTATATCAAGTATTTGCGAACCTTACGTAAAATGCGCATATTTCTTCATTTGCATATTAAAAGACCATATTTCTCATTGTGCAAGCCAACCATGATGTTGTCGCGAATTTGATTCTCCGAGCTTGGACTCTCCGAAGCTCGACCTCGTACCTGGTTTTCATGTTACGTAGGGTTAGTTTTATGCTATTATGTTATAAACTCTAGCATTTGGGAACGTCCGTATATTCCGTAATTAAAAACAGATTTTTTTACTACCCGCTCACCCATTACTTTCTCCACTCATCCTCAGTCTAAATATACCACGTGTGTACATAAGCTACACAAATAGATGACCCAAAACCACATCTTTAATTACGTAATATACGAATAATCCTTAAAAACATTGCAGATATAGCATGCAAAATTTTCCCTATGTATGTTCTCATTCATTAGTTATGACGCTATGTCGTATAATTCGAATTTGAATTAGGCTTCCAGATGCCAAAAATTATCGTCAAGCGTCATCAACGTATGCGTATAATTAAATTATATAAACTTTGCACTGTATCTCGCTTAATTTATAATACGCATATGTGTTATAATTTTACTCGGATTAATGCTGCCGATGTTAAGAGTATGGGGATATGTATTTCAAATTAATCAAAATATCGGTTTGGGGCAGATTCTTGTTGTCTAGATCTAAATTGATGAAATTATTGTTCGTTGTTGTACACAAAATCAAGCTTGTCTAATCACAAAGCTGCTTACTCATGACGTTGGCGAAATCTAGCTTTAAAAAGGACCCGTGTCCTGAGACTCTTCACCAGTTAACATTTCCCCATTTAACAATACAGCCGAAAATCTCCATTACGCAGCAGATCTGAAAAGGTTGGAAAAAATTTGCAAAATTTTATACTTTAGAGGGTAGGCAATTCCTTTAAAGGCGTAGCTTTAATTTTTTAGATGGCCCGTATGATTCTTGTCGTTGCCTTGTTGGCCGCCGTGGCCGTGTCGAACACTGAGGTAAATTTAAAACAAATCATAGTTACAGATTTTATCTACAAATCTGTCTAATTTTATAGGCCTGGTATTGTGCTGGGAACGTCTTGATGTGTTCCATCATAGAACAGATGTCGGGTGCCTGCCCATCTGCCAGCAACCCTTGTGGTATGAGTTTACTAATTACTTCCCCGCACGACTTCTCGATTCCGGGATCCAAAACTCGAATCCGAGTCGTAATTCGAATCCATTCCGACCGCGACTCTGATTTCTGCATTTACGAATTGACTTCGAGAAAATCTGGGTTCCTGTGGAGGACAAATTATAATGCTAACATTTAGTATTCAACAATTATATATATATTAACAAATTGATACTTGTAGCTGCAACGACAACGGCAGCAACGACTGCCGCGACTACCGCAGCTACCACCGCCGCAACTACAGCAGCGACTACCGCCGCGACAACGGCGGCTACTACTGCTGCGACCACCGCCGCCACCACTGCCGGCACAACGGTTGCCCCTGCCACCCTGAAATGGTGTTACCTTGGTGACTTCCTGATGGCCGGATCCAACTGTAATGCGATTGGAACCTGTGAGTTTAACATTTTCTGAAATTTCTTTTGTGCTGTGATAAAGAAAATGTCCCCTCTTTTTAGCACCACTCTCCTTTACATCGTGGACAAATATGCTGGTGAATGCTGTCGCTGGTGGCACCCCAGTCAGTAAGTACTCCGGAAGCCTTTTTACTATACAGTATTAATTATGGGGCAACGAATGACATTACTTTTTCCGTATAGGTATCAGCATCGGCTGGACCACACTTGGAGCTCTGCTTCTTGGGTAGATGTTAACCGAATACGTAACTCCTACTTTCGCTGTCCATCAATATCTCTTTTTCCTTCATCTGTCTGTGATAAATTTGAAGAATATTCTAAATTCATTCTTTCCGTTTGGAGAAATAAATGAATATTCTATCGCATATTAAAATTAAATGAAGAATTATTGGAAATCATTTCTCATACATCCATCTCATCACTCAGCATTGGCGTCACCTAGAGATGCCAATAAGCCGGCTTATTGAGTTGTGAGTCAAAACAAGCCGGCTTATTGAGTTGTGAGTCGAAGCAAGCCGAGTCAGAAGCAAGCCGGCTTGCTTCGACTCACAACTCAATAAGCCGGCTTGGCTTGACTCGACTCAATAAGCCGAGTCAGCTTATGGACATACATTCTGGTTTAAGTAAATGGACATTTAATAATTATAACAACCAAAATAACATTTAGAAAAATTAAAGTGGACTTTTAAAATACTAAGCATCCAAATGAAATCAATAATTTAAACTTAGACTAACATTAACTTATTATAAACTACACAATTACATATATATGTACATATGTATGTAGATGTAGTAATTTGCGATTAAATGCAGCAACTGAAACTACAATTGGATCCATTGTCACAGTTAAAAATAAATATTTCCTCATTCAATTACTATATAGTATCTAGTTTAATAAAATAAATTCAGTAAATTTACACATTTAAAAAACCTACGAATTGTTTTTAAAAGATTTATGATTTAGAAAAATTAAACAGCTGAGTTTATATTAGATTTTCAAGATCCGTCTCAATTTTAAATTTTTGATATAGTAAAACACAAAATCGAATAATAATTTAGTAAACAATTAAGGTGCAAATAACTTGTCAATACAAGTAGTCGAGGGAAGTAAATAAGTTTGTGTGTATGTACATACGTGTGTAAGCACGAGGAGGCGGAGCCAGCGGCTTATTGAGTCAAGCCGAGTCAAGCCAAGTCCAACTCATTCCAACTCACAACTCAATAAGCCGGCTTATTGAGTCAGCGGCTTACTTGAGGTAAACTCAACTCAGCTTGACTCAACTCAACTCAATAAGCCGATTCAAGCCAAGCCGAGTTGGCAACTCTAGCGTCACCCAAATCTGCTATAAGGCGTCTTTTTGAGAATAATGGCAAACAAACCTGTGGAACTGAATTTCACTTCACCCAACTTCACTCATTTTCGCCTCCTGTCCCTTGTTCCGCACTCCTCTCACTCACTCACTGGGCCCGCTTAATGGTCAGGCAGCCTAGGTAACTGCCTAGGACGCTAAATTGTGAAGGGTGCCGTAGGGCGCCCCGCTAGACAAAACCGACAAATTCAAAAATTGACAAATGATTTTCCTGTTCGTACATAATCAATGGTGAGCAGAAGAATTGATATGGTGTTAGTCAGATGGCATGTAATACCCAGTACACAACGAATCCCTGCGATATCGTAGCGAAGCACCAGCATCGAATCGTAGCGAATCTCTATCGAATCTACGTCGAAAACAGAGCTAAATAACCGCCGAATCTGTGCGAAAGAGCAGCGAATTCTTAGCGAATTTCGCAGCAACTTCGCGGTGCATCGTTAAGAATTCGAGATGCATTTTTATGACGATTTCGCTCTGAGTCGCATCGATTTCGATTCGTTTCGGCGTGATTTCCCTGCGAATTCAATGTCACCTTTTTTATTCGTTTTTTCTTGCCGAAAGAAATGGAAGATTATTAAAACGTAATATAAATACATACACACATATTAAAGCATAAAACACAAACCAAAATATTAAATAACATTCGAATTTATAATACCCATGGGAGTATCATTTTCGATTGTTGAATTTTCTGTATTGACTTGTGTCAGGCTGGAGTTGGGTTTTCTATAAAATGACGTCATGAAGTTTAGAACAATTTTTCACAATCCTACTACATATGTAAAATTTAGAATTGCTTACAATTGTTTCTCAATCTCTGCCTTTTTCAAAAATTTTAGGAGAACGGCGTCCACGGATTTCTTCGTAAGCGACATGACATTCGGGTTAATTAACAGACTTTATAAAATTTGAATTATTTAGTTAACATTTTATATCGAATAATGTTTTAACCAGACATAATATGACTTATCTGAACATAACTTTGCAAATACAGTTTCCCCAGTGAGCAAACACATTTTGTGAGTAACGTCAGACCATCTTATAGAGATCTAAGAAGTATTTCCTTCTACAAATTACCAAATGTGTAAGAAATATGTTAGGTTAAGTTAAGTGTGGTTATTTGTATCAACTACCCACTTACCAAAAGATTTCAGCACCCGTGGATTTCAGAAATTGAATCACTAATAAATCAATTATTGATTTGCACTAGAGAAGGATTATTTATTAAGTTTTCTCCGTTGTGATAGTTTACTTAAAAGACCTGCCGGTCGAAGGGCACGTGATCGAAAGGCGAGGAGTAGTTGCGATTTCGGTGTGAAATCGCTGCTCAAATTTTATATGGACAATAAAATTCTGTCAAGTCGTTCCGAATTCGTTGCGAATTCGCATGAACAATTCTTTGCTCGAAGGACCAGCGATTTTTCGTGATCGAATTCGTAGCGAATTGTCTTCGATTTTTCGACGAGAAATATATCGTGGCGACGTCGTTGCGGGTTCTAAGTGATGTAGCCCTCGAAATCGCAACGATTTTTCGCTGCAGCGAATTCGCTCTAAATTCGCTATCGTCGCAGAGAATTCGACCAACGAATTGCCTACTGGGTATAAGTACACTTTTTTTTACCTGTGGATGAAAATAGACGACAGGGGTGATATTAATGTATTACGAACCTTACATAAATTTGACAATATTTACGTATTCGTTAACGTCAAACACCTTAACTTCGTCATACAAACATATTTTAACTTTTCGGGAATACAGTCTTAATTTTATTTGTGCTTGGGTTAACGTGGCTTAGTATATAGCTTTGTCGAATATTGCACATTAGGTTAAGATTTCGAGTAGATCGGTTAATCCGTTTTGAAATTGTTGCACAGACAGAAAGACGGACTTTACAGTACCATAAGCTTTGAGTTTCAGAAAAACTAATAAGACCTAAAAATTCCAAATAGCGTACCCCTATTAAATAATAATAATAATAGGGTTAGGTAGGAAAGTAAAGAAACATTTGAAAAATGCCTGTAAAATCCGGAAAACTTCTTTAATTACAATGACATTTTTAAGGGTTTAGAACAAAGTCCTTGACGTTCAATTTTTTGCTTCATATGGTCCATAGACCCCCATCCTTCCTATCTGGCGAATTTGTTGTCTCGCGGTCCACAGAAGTGCTTTGCCACTCTTTCTTGCTACCTCTTTTAAGGTGTGTGTCCAAATGTGACGGAATCCTCTCAAGTTTTTGCCTGGTTTTGTTCGACGACTATATTCTCTCTTGCATAATGCCCAAAATCGTTCAATTGGTCATGGCCGAGGGACGTATTACTTTTTTGCAACAAAATCGATTTTTTTCGACCGCAGGTAGTCCAGAACAACTTTTGAAGAATGACATGTTGCTGTGTCCGGTCAGAAAAGTACATTACGATTATTGATAAAGGGGATCAAGATCTTTACACAATCGTTCCGATATCTCCCCGAGGTCATGGTGGCTGTGGTCACGAACGGCTTTGAGGCCTCCCCCAATGAGTCCAATGCTTGCCCGATTATGTGCTTTGTGGGGAATTTTGACTTCGGTGTGTATTTGAAGGAATCTTTAAACGTTTTCTTATTAGTACATGAGTAGTACTTCCTCCCAGGGACTTTATCTGGATCAATCGAGCACTTGGTCTCATCATCCATCACCAGAATCATGGGCATGTTTTGCTTGACTCGTTTTTCAGCAATCTGCCGAGAGTTGGTTCGCTCTTTATTGCTGACCTAGGTGTACTTTGGTGCAGGTGTCGCGTTATAGGATTTGACCCCCAACTTCGTAGGTTTAATGTCATGTAAACTTAATGTTGCTATTTTCAATTTGTAGCCCAAATTACCATCTGATATCCAAAGGTTATTTTGGCATTCCTCCTGAAGTCTACGTATCACTTTGGGGGTCGCTACATGAGCTGGACGATTTTTTTATTTTTTGAATTCAGCATTCCTCCTCCCCTCATACATACATATCTAAAACTCTGCAAATTATCCCATTATGAATTTTTTCTCTTTCGAAGTGGCTATTAACCATTATCCGAACGCGCCCGCACACGTTTTCGTAGTAGTGGCAAACTCTTTTGCGAGGTGTTCTGATTTTTTTTCTCATTTTTGAACTATTCGAGATATCGACTTCTGGTTTTCAGATTCGGGTAGTCAATCGCATGGACTACAAAACTACCGCGTTCCAACTCAGTGACAATTTTTCATTCATACAAACAAATATACTTTTTCAAATGTTTCTTTACTTTCCTAGCGAACCCTATCTTTACTTTGATTGCTGATGTAAAACAACACTTTCTAACAAAAATGAAGTATGTATCTGCTATTTATGTGCTATTACTATTGGTTATTATGGAATAAATGATCGCAGGATATCTTCGCGCGAAAATCACGTGCCCACTTGATTACATTGGGAGCGGGGTGAAATTAAATTTAAATTTTTAAATCTGCGATCAGTTATTCCTTACTACCCAATAGCCTGAGTAACGTGACGACAGGGGGGGTAATTCATTTATCACCATTGGTTACCAAAAGGGGGGAGGGAGGGGGTTAAAATTTTCTCAAAATCAATCACGTGATTTATGGACGCTCACTTACTTGCAGGTGGTTGCTTTATTTCTTTCATCAAAAACCCTTGCTAAGGGATTCAGGTGACACAGTTTGCGATGCTTTGGTAATTTGTGTTAGAAAAGCGATCAGTTTTTCCATGCATGTTTTTTTTATTATCATGTAAAATATGTAAATGCAAGTCGATTTATCAAAGTTGCAGGTCATAAAAGTCAAAAATAAAAATAAAAAAGTTGTACAACTTGATTTTAAATTCAGCCATTCAACAAAGTGATATTTAGTTAGCCCATAATTATCCGGCAAGGTTTTAATCGGACGTAGGAATTTTGAGAAATCGATAAAAAACGAAAATTCATAATTTTGTTAAAAAAACCAGTAGTGAAGTAAAAAAGACGCCGGAATGTGCAGGATAGGATAAGTTGGGCTATTAACACAAATAAAATGAACCTAATTACTAGTTGTAGCTACGTTTGTAAAAATTTGTGTAACAGTTGACCTTATCCGCATTTTTCAAAAACAATGAACTCAGCCTAAACAACATCTGTCTGTGCTTCTAACATGGGTAAATTTAGAATTAAGATTCTGAGTAGTTATGAGATTCGCCAGATCAAAACACGGTCGAATAATTGTTACTATCACTGTAGAGGAAATCAATCCAGAGCCTAAGTGACTAGCTGCGGGATGGGTATATTCTCCAGGGCCGGGCCCCAAAGGGGCCGGGCCATTTGAGCCCACTTAAAAATTTTATAGCAAAATTATAATTTATTTTAATCACTTGGCCACATCTATTTTTTGCGAATTCCTGTTAGGCTAAAGGGCCACGAGCAACGAAGTTTTCGGGAAACATCCCACTTCACAATTTTACTATTCTTGCTTATTTAACTATTGTCCAGGTTTATTTATCATTCTTGAGGGTCATCGTAGAATTTCTTTTTAAAAATAACATAGACGGCACAGGATTTGTGCCGGTCCATGGATCGGAATCAGAGCTCCACGTCGGTGAAATATCGGCGGCAGCCGATATTTTTACCCATAATTCTCAGTCCATAATTGTAGCAAATATATTTATTCAGTTTTGTGATATGAAATACAAATATTAAACCGTTACTCAAATATTGACCGGATTATTTTTAATTTGTTCAGTAACCAAAATAACCAGCCCCATATTTTAGAAATAGTAACAATCGGAGAATTTTGCTGCGTGGAAGAATTTTAAAAACATTTCTCCACCAAGACCGTTCGCATTTCCGAATCTTGGCGCTACTTCAAAAATTACGAAGTTGAATTTTTAAAGCTAAATTGACATTTTCTGGCTAAGTTTTCCAGAAATGAATTTTCAAAATGGTTTTTGGATTTTTAAATGTTTCTGGGTTTAAAAAATCCCAAGACTTAGCCAAATTTATAATTTTCGAACAAAATGCAACATTACAAATTCCTTCGAAAAATCACGTATGCAATTTGATGCGTGTACATAACTGTTTTTTTAATTGAATTAAACTTCGAAGCGAATTTATGTTAGCCGAAGGTTTGGCTGAAGTTTTGAACGATGTAAAAATTCCTACGCACGGTGAATTTCGCTTGTTAACAAAAAATTACGGATTTGCTGATTTTTGTTGAGTAATATAAAATCGTTCGGATCAAAATCTGTGAGGAATCGACTACCACAACCCAGGACCCGTGAGAGGGCCTGGCAAGCCGGGAGGTTGCCCGGGGCGCTGAGGCGCCAACAATTATATGATATGATGCTAAGTAATTTATTACCTATTTATTAGCAATGTATAAGCGTAGTAAATGAGTTTTTGGACTTGATTGATATACGATTCGTCTTTTGAATATTCTTTACAGCAATGAATGATATTTTTCAGTTCCCTTTGAGTTATGTAGCCATCATTGGTTTTTTTGGCTTATGCAGATTTCTGTGGTTCTTGTTATCAGATCCCTGAAGACCTACAAAGCTTATTCGGTATTTTGCTTTTGTGGGGTTTTTGTACGTTTTGAGGCAAATTGAAATAAGCTTCTTTAAACTATTACTTTAATATTAATCAGTGATAATCGAGTGATCGGACTCAGCATGGAATTTTGAACATTTTAATGCGTAACTTGAATTTTTAATACCATTAGCATGTTCTAAAATCTTAGATTCTTGAATACATCAAATTTATTAGCCTTGGGGTAGTGGTTTTTAGGAAAACGGTCATATTCGAAAGTTGTCTTTGATTTCATTTCATTTCAACTTTTATTCACGTGTAAATGGATATCAGTTAACAATAACTGGTTTGCAAACCATGACACAAAATGCTATAACTATATAAGAAGCATAATAAATATCTAACTACATTGAGTTTAATATAGAAATACTCTCGACTAGTGTTGCAACGAGTACTCGTTTCCACTCGGTACTCGGCGCACTCTGCGCATTTTTTGGTGAGCTCGAACTCTGCAGAGTTTTTTGCACTCGGCCGAGTTTTATTATTCTCACTTTTACGGCAAGACAATTTAAATAACATTTGCCAGTTTAGTGGACTTACTCAGATTTAGCTGAAATTTGTTTTTGTGAGTAACTTATAGTACCTTGAGCAAAAAAAACTTTTTTTGTGGCGGTTTCGAAAAATAAAATTTCCAGAAATTTCAGAAAATTTGAACAATAATTATTTCATGCACACTTTTTTAATAAAAAATCCGCCGGATTCTTTTTTAGCATAGTTTAATTGGTCTAAAAAATCATGTTCATTGAAATCTGAGACAAAAAATTTTTTATGCAAAAATTTCCTAAATTTCTAGAAATTTTATTTATCAAGACCGCAGCGGAGAAAAAGTTTTTCTTGCTGAGGCGACCGTAGGGTATTCACAACAAAATTCAGCTAAATCCAAGTTAGTTCACTAAACTGCAATTCTACCAAATGTAGAAATTAAAAATTTAGACCTCTCCTGAGTCAGCAAAATCAATTATTTTGTTATTTTGTGCCTTTTAGTACAAATTTTTGGATTAACAGCTGGTTTTGGTTATGTATGTTGTTGATGAGTCAAATTGAACTTTTCGATTGCCTTATTTTCGAGTGAAAGTAGGAAAGCAGTCGAGTGCTTTGTGCTGCGAGCACTCGAATAGCCGAGTGCACTCGGTTTTTCGAGTACTCAGTTGCAGAGTTTCACCGAGTGCTCGAACTCGTTCGAGTTCGAGCACTCGGCACCGAGCTTTGCAGAGTACTCGAACTCGGCTCGAACTCGAAATGAAGGACTCGTTGCATCACTACTCTCGACCCCTTTCTACTAAAGCACGTGTGCGAAAATTCAAATTATTTTTCCCACTCAGAATGCGACTCTTTAAAATGTAAAATTCAGATTTACATTGGATGAATTTTCTTTTGTCGAAGGGCGATTCTTAAAAGGTTTTCCAGTCAAAACCTCGGGGTTTCAAAAACCTTGAACTTTTCAAATTTTACTGCGTGTTAAAAAGTTCGAAAACATGTTTCTGTAGAAGGAATTGAATTCTTTGATTAATGAAAGTCCAACTTTAACAAAATTTTCAATTAAAGATTTTTTTGTAAGTTTATGGAATCCCTAAAAGCAAACTCGGGTGAACTTTTAAATTTCCATATTGCGGACATTACAAACATATTACGGACGAATTTCCAATACTAAAGTCGAAATCGAGGGTATAAACACAACCTGTTTGGTTTATATGAAACAAATTTTTCTTCGCAGCGTGCCAAAAAATTTGCGCGGTGGCATCGCCAACGATTTTATCCAGTGGCTGCGGCACCAAAAATCGGGTCGGCGCGTTTGGCGCACCGCCGAAAATCGGCGGCGTGGAGCTCTGATCGGATTTTTTTTATGCCCACCGCCGGGCCTAACTCGCTTAGCCTCTGAGGAAATCCACGTATTTTCGAACATTACGTAAAATGGTTTCTTCATTTACACATTAAAAGACCACATTTATCATCGGGTGTGCTAGCCAAAATGTCGCATATTTGATTCTTTTGTCTCTCTGAGGCTCGACCTTGGACCTCTTGTTAATGTTACGTAGGGTTAGTTTTATGAGATCATGTTATAAAACCCAAGCATTACAGAACGTCCATGTATTACGTCATCAAAACACAGAATTTTAGACTACCCACCAAGCCTTTCCGTATGCTACTCATGTTGAGCTTAGCATGAGAGTAAATAAGATGCATCCCAAAACCACCAAGGGCCTTTTTAACGACGTAATATATGGACGTTCCCAGAAAATCATAACACATTCAACATGCAAAATTTTCTAAGTAAATGTATGCAACCATCATTCAGTACATAGTTCTGACGGTATGTTTCCTAATTTAAATGTGAATTAGGCCTCCAGATGCCAAAAATTATCAAGCGTCACAAACGTATGGTTATAATTAAATTACATAAACTTTGTGCTGTATATATCCCCTAAAACTTATTATAAAAAGCGGCAGTGGCCGCTGAAACTCTGGAGATATCTGGGGACATCCATATTGTAGAGTACGGGAGGTAGGGGTCCATGCAAAAAGAATAAATGTGGGGACATTGAATAACTACGGGGACATTGTCCCTCTATTAAACTGTTCCGCGGCCATGGCGCAGTGCAGTGTTACTACTTTACTTGTTATAATACCGTCAATGCTGTCGTTGTTCAAAACAAGGTGTTTATGTACTTAAAATTAATTGAAATACCGGCTTAGGGCAGCTTCTGGTTGATTTTATTTAAATTGATGTAATTGTTGTTCATTGTTGTCCATCAAATGATTTAATGAACAACATTTTGTAAACCTTTTTCACAAAGCTTGTTACGCATGCCGTGGTCCAAATGTTGCTTTAAAAGCGACCCGAGTCATGAGGTTCGTTACCAGTCAGCCTTTCTCCAAGTCAACCCAGCCAAAAAACCCAAGTTACGCAGCAGATCTGAAAAGGTTGGAAATATTAGGGAATTTTCTTTCAAAATTTGTGTATTTTTGAATTTAAAAAAATCTTTTTACTGCAGATGGCCCGCATGATTTTTGTCGTTGCCCTATTGGCCGCTGTGGCCGTGCCGAACACTGAGGTAAATTTACAACAATGCACACTTAAAGGTAACGGTATATGTAAAATTGTGTTTTATTTCATAGGCCTGGTACTGTGCTGGGAACGTATTGATGTGCTCCATTATGGAACAGTCGATTACGAAGACCTGTCCATCTCCTAACCCTTGTGGTATGCATTTGATGAAGCTAGTCTTAAGTATTTCATGAACATATTTAGCTCTTTGGATTCTTTGTTCTTAGGTGCAACCACAACCACGGCCGCAACTACAGCAGCGACCACTGCCGCAACTACAGCTGCGACGACTGCGGCGACAACCGCTGCGACAACTGCCGCGACTACCGCTGCGACTACGGCTGCGACGACTGCTGCAACCACCGCCGCGACAACCGCTGCTACTACCGCCGCAACAACCGCAGCAACAACTGCCGCTACTACCGCCGCGACTACTGCTGGAACTACTGCCGCTACCACCGCCGGCACAACTGTTGCCCCTGCAACTCTGAAATGGTGTTACCTCGGTGACTTCCTCATGGCGGGATCCAACTGCAATGCCATTGGAACCTGTGAGTTTATAATGTTATGAAATATCTTTCATGATACGAATTGTAACAATTGCCTCGTGTTCAGCACCCCTCTCGTTCACATCATGGACAAACATGCTGGTCAATGCTGTCGCTGGTGGCACTCCAGTCAGTAAGTTGTCGACATATTTTAAGTCTTTCTAGTGCAGTGCTGGGTAAGGGGTAATTACCTATATTTCTTGTTTAGACATCAACATTGGCTGGACCACACTTGGGGCTCTTCTTCTTGGATAGATTTTTACTAAACATGTCTATGTTACTTTATCTGTTTATCAATCTATCTATCTCTTCCTCTGTCTTTGTTAAATTTGAAATATGTTCTATCCAAATTGATCCTTTCCTTTTCAATGAATAAATGATTATTCCATCGCAAGTTAAAATTTAAATGGTGTATTACTTTAATCATTGACATAGTGTCTACAGTCGTACTAATTCTACTTAAAAAGACCTACGTGCAGTCAATGCTTAATTCTAAAAAGATCTGAGTGCATACATCCGTTAATTTTTAAAAGGCCTAAGTGCAGTAAGTCCTTACTTTTAAAAAGGCCTAAGTGCACAATAAAAATAAGAAAAGAGTCTAACTGTCAGCTAGGGCTAGGCTAGGCGTGATACAATGTTCAGAATTTCGAAACCACATCCTCAGGGGATGTGGTTCTCAGGGCCCAATTTAAGTTAATCCAATCCTGACATGGAATATATCAGTTTTCTGAGCCCAGTGAGGTAAATCCTACGGATTATTCGAAATTTTGAAACTACACCCTTAGGGAGTGTGGTTATTCGCACACGAATTACTTTAATAAAATCCTGACATTCAATATATCACTTTTCTTAGCACATTGAGGCAAACTCGACGGAATAACTCGCAATGACTACCCCCTGGATGGTGTCTTGCAGCTTTTTTTGAACACGTATAGTACAAAATATATACCAGATAAATCGATTCTAGTTAACAAAATATGGCCCGTAAACACTACCATGAATATTTTTCGTGTAAAAATTTACACCTCTCTACTCCACAGCGGAATAATATAGGTACCACGACAGTGGCAAACATGTCAGAATTTAACTAATTGGAGATGGGGTTTTGAAATTCTGAATCGTCTTTTGGGATTGGCTCTGGGCTGGGCAAAATGATACACTACAAACCAAGCTTTTAGTAACCTAAATTGGAGGCTAAGAACCACACCCCCTGAGGATGTGGTTTCCAAATTTCGAATAATCCGTCGGGTTTGTCTCGCTGGGCTGAGGAAAATGATATATTGCACAGCAGGATTATGTGAACACTTCATTTGAGCATCAAGAACCACACCACCTGAGAGTGCTTTCAAAATTCCGAACATTGTATCACGCCTAACATTATCTGACCAAGATACCCATACTGACGATATCAGTATGGTTTTGAATAAATTATTGATTGTTTAAACTTTCTGGATTGCATTAGGCATTTTTCGTTTTTATTATGCACTTAAGCCTTTTTAAAAGTAAATACTTAATGCACTTAGGCCTTTTAAAAATTAAAGGATGAACGCGCTTAGGCCTTTTTTAAAATTGAACATTGACAACACTTAGGTCTTTCTAGAATTACGACATACGACGATGTAACACCCAGACTTTCCTATTTCCTAACCATGCCTTTTGCATCCGGTTTATTTTGATGTCTCGCGTTGCTTGATTTGGCTAACCACGCTATATGCATACAGGATGTTTACAGATTTTGTAGAAAGACAATTAAATTGATAAATTGAGAATGCATGATGCAATTTATACCAAATTTGGCACACACGATCTTGAAGGTCACGACAACACCTGTTAAAAGTTTCCAATTTCTATCTTCAAAGGTGGCCCAAAAAGGTGACCCCAAAATGGTGGAATCGTAAAAGCGGTTTCCGAAGCTAATTTGGCCGCGGACAGTGCCCAAACGATTATCCAAAAATCTGAAACCCATCTTATTGTGTCCTCCATATATCCCTTAATCAATTTTGCTAGAAAACGATGGCAATTAGTTACATCCGACCAATTTATACCTCAAAATGCTTACCCCTCAAAACGAATAATTCTGTCACCCTCAAGAAAAATGATCCCCTTGCTCTCATTGAGAATCCTCCAACCAAAGATACTCTAGGGAGCAATATTATTCGGGTAAGGGGAACCTAAAAATTCAAATTACTATAAGTGAGTTACTGATGAATATATCGATTTCAATTCTTTTGCAGTTTATGCACCATTTAGTAGTCTATCAGTTGTATGAAGCATATTTTTTAAAAGCTCAAATTTTTGTATAAACCAAATATTGATGAAAGACGTCAGAAAAAAAGAGAGCAAAATTATTCATTTTTTTCTCTGCAAACCCTAATGTATATAAAAAAAACTGATGAGATAAGTAACAACTGTTCCACTTCTTTAATTAACCATGTCACGGTCTACTTAATTTTGTATATTTGAAACTTGCAAGTTCATGGGAAGAAAGGCTGGAGAGGTTATCATTGCGATACTCGGCCTCGTAATATAGCATTGGAAAGTCTTGAAAATGGTAAGAGCACGCAATGTGAAAATTCCAAAATAGCTACCTTATATCTCGTCCCCCCGCGTCGTGAAGTATACACCTACAGTGTGTCTACACGTTACACGTGTCTACACGTAGTGTACACACGTTAAGTTTGTTGTTGGTTGTCTAGAATTTTTTGTCGTGCGAGGGGTTAATTTAGTGATGTCCTAATAAATTAGAGTTTTTATAATAAATTATTATAAGCACTGTAATTTTTAGTTACAGTTTTGAGTTTTTCAATTCGCCGACATTACGTAAAGTATTTATGACCGTATCTCAAGTTATAAGCACACATCTAGGTATTTAAGAAGGTTTAAGTTAAAGTGTCCTTACTCGGAGCTCAATATTCAGAACTGCAGGCACATACATCCATAGGTGTTACGGATTCGACGGGTAGTTGGATCGAGCGAGCACAACAGTGACATTCAAATCAACCAGGTAAACCAGTACAGTACGACGCATAATAAACCGTTACAATGAATGTAACCAAGGGATCAAATAAGCGTTTCATACTTAAAAATGAATATCATATAGTTTTTGCCCGCTAAAAATTTTTAAAACGGTCACCGAGGTATCACAAGTCAAAATTTTCAGTGTTCACTATTCAGTGTTCAAAATCTGTTAAATTGATACACATCTAACGTGTTTTAGACATTTGTGACAATTTAACATTTGTTCACCGTTTTGTGACATTTTAGGTCAAAATGGAAGCCCCCATTGAATTCGGGGTTAAATTTCAAGTCAAATTGACATAGGTATGTATTTAACTGTTGATGACCTTTCTGTGACCTTTAACTTTGAGGTCAAAATTAAGGTCACCATTGAATTTGTCGCCGCAAATTAGCCATAAATGTTGTGTCAAATGTCAAAACTGAAATGTGATACTTTTTCGGCACTTTTCGTCACTGTGACGATGTCACAGTATCCATCTTCGAACACGCCCCGTCCCTTGTCGTTTGGGGTTTATGTTCAAAATTTCAATTCTCTATGACATTCAGTTAAAAAGTTATCGGACCAACGGACCGACAGACAGACAGAAAGACGGATATAACGATCGCATAAAGGTCTTTCGCCCCTTAATAATAATAGTGGCACAAATACATACATGCGAAAGGCGTTCAGAAACTAAGTGGCGTCGCCTTGAAGGGGTGTCATTTTTCCCAAATTTTTTGGGTGTTACAATTAGGAGACTAATTAAAACCGATTTTGAAAATATTGGAACAAAAATGACCTATTTCGGTCTGCTCATTCAAAGCCCACAAACTTTTCTGCGCTTACTTCCAAGAAAACGCAGCAGTGCGCAAAAACGGATAACGGTGATTTTGGTCCTGCAGTGGTAAAAAATCAAGACAATCCTGGGTAATAATTAGTCCATGACGGATTGGTTTATTTCGGGTTTTTCATCGTGAAGGGGCAATTTTTATATTCGACGATTTACGAATTTTTACTCATTTTGGAACGCTTAGAATAATGAGTGGAAGAAAAACACCGTAGAAAAGTGTCTGGGAGTATTTTTATCGGATAAAAAGCGAAGCATTCGTTAAGTTAAGAACAAGGGCCGTCATATCTAGCAAGTAACGCCTTTAAAATATTTAGTTTCCCTCGTGGGTTAAAAAAATTGTCGAACCTTTCCACGAATAAATGGGACACCCTCTGTAGATGAGGTGAAATCAGCAGTTTTGACTTTTTTTTTCGAAAGTCATTCATAAAACCGCGATAGAAAGTGTGAAATTTAGGGGACAAAGTGTGTTTACCTCGCAGGGGACTAGTGGAAGTGCAAGTACCTCATATTGATTGAGGAAACATGTTCAGGTCGATTAATTTCCGAACTTCCTTCGTATATGGGTCACCCACATATATGCCACTGCTAAGTGCCACCATAAATACATATGTATATGTATTTATAAATATGGCTGTTTGTATTTACATAAATAACTATCATGCCTCTTAAAGGATATTCTTCATTCAAAAGTCAGTCATTCTGATTTCCGGATGAAGGTTTCCATTCATATTCAGTCACTTTGGTTCATTTCATTTCACTTCATTGGGCTTAGGGCTTGAATACCGAAATTCTCGATATCCAAATACTGAAATATCGACATTTTGAGATTACAATACAGAAATTTTATTCTTGCAATTTATTAATTTATTTAATTGTGTAATATAACCATTTCTAATTAACTTAACCCTTTCGAAATCAAACGTTGGGGTGTCACCCAGTCAAAAATCAAATTTGGGAACTTTGGGGGTGTGGCGAAGTCAAAATAATAATATCGAATTTTGACTTGGCCATAGCTGCACCAATGCAAAGCTTCCAAAATTAAATTTTGACTTCGGTACCCCTCACAAATTTCCTAAATTGAATTTTGATATGGTTGCACCCCTAAAGTTCCCAAAACTTAATTTTGACTTGGTTACACCACCAAGGTTCCAAGACCGATTTTTGACTTGGTTAGACCCCCAAAGTTTTCAAAACTGAATTACTGAATTACTACATATGCATGTATCTACTGTTATCTGCCAAAATAAAAATAGAAATGTAATGTGTGTACTCCATATACGGCATTAATAATTAACAATTATGCAATTTCAATCGGATCGTTAAAAATCGAAACTTTAACTTGCGACAGAATATTCATTTATTTATCGAAATGAGGAGATAAATTTAGGTAGAACATGCTTCAAATGCACAGATTGAAGAGTAGACAGATAAAGTGGCAAATAAATGTTTAGTCAAAATCTACCCAAGAATAAGAGCTCCAAGTGTGGTCCAGCCGATGCTAATGCCTAAAGGAAACAAGGAATGTAAGTAAGTATCCCTTCCCCAACACTGAACTGGAAAGACTTAATATATTTCGGCAACTTACTGACTGGGGTGCCACCAGCGACAGCATTGACCAGCAAGTTCATCCATGATGTGAAGGAGACTTGAGCTACAGATGATTCAATTTGTATAATCCGTGTCGCGAAAGAAACTTTACGAAATTTTAAACTCACTGGTTCCGATGGCATTGCAGTTGGATCCCGCCAAGAGGTAGTCACCAAGGTAGCACCATTTCAACGAGGCAGGGGCAACGGTTGTGCCGGCGGTGGTGGTCGCGGCAGTTGTTGCAGCCGTAGTGGCAGCCGTAGTCGCGGCGGTAGTCGCGGCGGTCGTGGCTGCGGTAGTAGCTGCGGTTGTGGCAGCTGTAGTTGCGGCAGTCGTAGCTGCAGTGGTAGCTGCAGTAGTCGCGGCAGTCGTTGCCGCGGTAGTCACGGTAGTAGCGGCGGCAGTTGTTGTTGTCGCAGCTAAAAATAAAGTACCCAAGGAATTCAGTATACTCGTTAAATACTAAATGGTACAAATCATTATACGCATACCACAAGGGCTGTTCGCCGACGGGCAGGTTTTAGCGCCTTGTTCCAATAAGGAGCACATCAATGTCGTCCCAGCGCAGTACCAGGCCTATAAAATTGAGAACATTTTTATGCAGAAATATGCTTTTGAATAGGCATTGTTTGGAATTTACCTCTGTGTTCGACACGGCTACGGCGGCCAACAAGGCAACGACAAGAATCATACGGGCCATCTAAAAAATCAATTTTCAGTTTTAAATATATTTTCAAATAGGAAATTTCTTAAATGTGTTCCACCTTTTCAGATCTGCTGCGTAGTTGAAGTTCTTAGGTTGGGTTTATTAATTGGAGAAATGGTGACTGGTAATGAATCCCAGGAGACGGGTTGCTTTTAAGGGCAAATTTTTCCAACGTCATGCGTAGCATGTTGTGTGGAAAACCAATAATCTGATATAATTCACAACAACGAATCAGAATTAGTATAACTTTTGTATGAAAGCCCAAAAGCTGCACCAAACCGATATTTCAGTTGATTTGAAATATATTAACGTCTTGTTTTTAACAACGGCAGGTGGTACTGATTATATTTAGGCGAATAAAATTGTAACACGCCACGCCGTACTGGAGATTTTATGTAAAACTTATAAATGCGATAGAATTGTACACCGACAATTACATTGTGTAACTCGTGTTGCAAACTTTGTACGATTTACTTAATTATAAGCTTGATGACGCTTGATTATAATTTTTGGCATCTGGATGCCTAATTCAAATTCAAATTACACGACATATCGTCGCCACCGCTGAATGATAAATTCACGGAAGACTTTTCATATTTAACTTGTAATCAACTTATAATATGAACGTATAAAACTGACATAATGTAAAATAAGTGATAGGACTGATTATTACGTATCTTTTTACAATTTTCACGTACACAAACAACATGTAAAATCCACGTTTCAAAGAAGCGTGGATTTTAAATGAAGTAAATTTTTATGATGAGCCGGGATCAACATAAATTAAGTTGTGTTTCAACTGGTTCTAACATCTTTCACTTGTCCAGTGTGTTTCATTCTACTGAGATCACAATGTTTTCAAAATTTATTTCGAGGCTGAGTTGATTTCCAGAAAACCTTGGCGTAAGTTGTAAGTTGATAATAAAAATATACAATGAGTTTCATATTAATTTGCTAGCGACTTTTGTAAAAATTGATCTTCTAATTCTTTCCAAATTCTAAATCAACTTGTCCATTAACATTCTGGTCACTTCTGGGTTACTACTGGGATCACTATTTTGAAAATTCCTTTTCCATCTTGTCATATGTACCAAATTAATAAGTGCGGTTGTGCATAAATAGTTATGTTCATCCAACGTTGGCAATTATTTCAATTAGATTTAGCTAGATTCGTACGCATTCTCTAAATGGATTCATACTTCTTAATATTAAGGCATTTATACATGTTTGAACAGTTTTAAACACAAGCGAGACTTAAGTTTGATGAGATTTTGAGTAAATGGGTGCTACTTTAATACAGCCGGAAAAATTATTACCTTCTCAACTACAAATATGCACCGGCCTTATCGTGTACACATGTACATATGCATACGTTTCTTAGCTATGCAAGATTTGCCATATGTGATGACACTAAATATGTAATATTAAATACCTTCAAGTGTTTTAATAATTTAATTAGAATTAGTAGCGAGAAGTTATTTCATATTGTTACCTGCAAAAGGTGTTATGACGTTATCAATCACAATCACATACCTGTCACCCACAATAGGTAACCAATTATCAAAAATAAATTATTAACGTCGATTAAAATGCTAATAAAACTTGTCACCCAAACTTTTCATGCCAAACTCATGAATTATGGATTTGGATGCAAAAGTGTAATTACATATTCAATTTTCAGCAGAATTTTTTATTGTTGCTGTCAAATTAATTCAAATACACGTTCATATGCATACAACTTATCGGCAAAGTATTCATTTACAAGTAACTTATTTCTATTTCTAATGCGAAATCTGTATCATATTATTTATGTAAGGAGAATTACATAAAATTGCATATCAATTTCTCACTCTTGCATAAATTGCGTCCATCGTAGAAAAATGATTTCAAAGTTTCCAGTTATTTTTTATCTTCGTCTCATTTTATCCCTTCGGGCAACAGCGCCCGACTAAAAAATCGGTCTTCCGGGTAACTGCCTCGACCTTGATGGAAACTGGGGAATTCGTGGCGACGGGATAATCGTAAACCGAGGTAGGACCTGAAGTTGCCTTCACAGTTACATATGGTGCCTCCGTCTGGCAGTGCCCGTGCGACTCCAAAACTTTAGCCGGGCAAAATATATTTGAGCGCCCCTAATTTTTCCCTTATTTCTATATCTACATAAATTATTTTTTCGAGGGGTAAAAAAAGGCCATAATAATATTTATAACTTGTCTAAAAATTAGTTATTCGATATTTTAATGAGAAACTCTAGAAAGAAATCAATTGGCTCAAAATGTATTCGCATTTAAAATTCTGATGCACCACGGACCAATTTTGTTTTTTCACCAAAAAATAAGGACTGTGTCCTTATTTTTGAATTTTTAAATTACAAAAAAAATATTAGTGTCCTTAAGACACCAATAAAAGAAAGCTCTAATTCAAGCCCTATACTTGCATTTTAATTTTTTTACAGCCAAAACCTCTGATTTCTTAAATTCTAGAAGTTTTAAAATTCGAAAAATTCGAAAACATATTGATTAGCAGGACTTACATGGCTTATCAAAATTCATCAGCAATGCTAAATGAAATTTAAAGTTGGCCAGAATTTGCTTTCAGTAATGTCAGAAAGTAGCAAAAAATCTTAAACTTAAAATGACGCAAAAATTGGATTTTAATAAATCAGATATTTCTTCTGAACAAACATGCTTTTGAATTTTTTTAAGTCGCTATTAACTTCGAAAAGTTCAAGATTTTTGAAAACCAGTGGTTTTGACTGCAAAAAGGTTTAAAATTCGCGCCTTGACAAAATACAATTAGCCTCATATAAATCTGAATTTGACATGTTAAATAGTCACATTGTGAATGGGAAAAATAATCTGAATTTTGGTACCCGTGATTTTATACAAAACGGTTCGTTTTTCTGCCTGTTAAATGTTAATATTAAAGTCGAAGGCGGCGTTCGAAAAACAGTGAATATTCTAGAAAACCCATATGGAAGGGCTTTTTCGGGGATTTTTGGTGGTTTTTGAATAAATATAATTTATTTAAGACCCCAGTATATTCAAACATAGGATTTATGTGCATGCTGGTGATATTATAAATTCAATTCACATGAGAAAATCCTCAAAATTCCATGCTGAATGCGATAACTAAATTAGTGGTGATTAACAGTGAAGTTAGGTATAAGTTTATTTCAACTTGCTTCAAAGTCTTACAAAAATTCCAAGAGAACCACGATAGCATTTGGGTTTTCAGGGATTCTATTACAACAGCAAACTTAAGCCAATAAAAACCAGTGAGGAAGTGGCAGACCCTACTCAAAGAAAACTGAAAAATACCACTCATTGCTGTGGAATATTCAAAATATAAACTTTACTTCTATCAGTTTCATTTTAATTTATTTGCTACGATTATGTCAATAAATTACTTAACATATCATTTAATCGTTGGCGCCCCCTGGCGCCCCTCGGCGCCTCAGCGCCCCGGGCAACCGCCCGGCTTGCCCGCCCCTCTCACGGGCCCTGCCGTCTGGGTGTTGACGTGCGATGGGTTCAGAAATAGGAGGAATCGGTAGCCCGAAAAATTTGGGGGTTGGAAAGTGCCTTGCATCCGGTGGGGGGGGGATTACGTAATTCTGCAAGATTGTTTGTCGACATACTCGTGGCAGAAGGGGGATGCGATTTAAGGTGTGAATTGTTGCGAAAAATTGATATACCTCATTTGATAAAGATCACCCTATATTCGAGAAATTTAATTGTTGTACATACAAATTGTGTATGAGTTATTAGCGATTAAAAATGATTTATTTTTTTCTGTTGGAAATGATATAGACCTTTTTTTTGTTTACATATCTTGACTTGTGGAAATAAATACCTGCAAGTTATTAATACACTCAAAATAAAAATTTGTCGAATCAACACCGCCGGTGTCAGTATATGACTTAACCGCCTTGGTTGCAATGTTGAATCCGAGTTATGATGATTTTGATACCGGTAGTTATAATGTTATGACCGGACGGAAAAAATTCATCACTACTCGGAATCACAATTGTAACCAAGGCGGTTAAGTCATATATTGACACCGTTTTGTTTTGAGTGTATATATTTCCAACTGTAAATATTTGCTGATACGTTATGCTAAGAATTTGCATTCTTGCAATGATAGATTGGATTTTTTACGTTTATATGCAATGGGAACCGATAAATTAAAAATGTGCCGATTTTTGGGGCTGTGATGCCATCTTTTATGACTTATTATGATGTGTATTTAGGCTGTGATTTATAGAGTTGTTCCTTAAGTCGATCTATTTACTGTTTAATATATAGCTAATGAAATTTCACACAAAGTACGATGATGGAAACGATGTTGGAATTTGCTTAAATTAGTGCGAAAAAATATGGCCATACATATTTACGGATACAAAGTCTCACCCCCTTAGTTTTGATTTGGTTGCCAAATTGAAGTTAACATTTAATACAAGAGAAATTTAATAAATAATTGGTAAAACACATAAATGTTTCGATTTATTTAAATAGTCTATATTTAGGACAATTATCCGCTTCACGTCATGTTTAGCGCCACTCCCATTTTTTAACCCAGTCAACTTCCAAAGTATTTTTTGCCCAACTGTCCGCCTCTTTCGGATCGAAGGGTTCATTCCCGAAGAAACTTCCCCCCACGGCGAGGTTGATGATGAGGTAGAAATTCTTATCGAAGGGTTGACCATTTTTGGTGTATAATCCCGGCCAGAAATTTTTCTGTAAAGTTTCCGTGTGGAAAACGGCTCCGTCTAGGATCCACTGAATCTGCCAAGGGCTCCAGTCTAATCCGAAGGTGTGGAAATCTTGGGAAAAGTCGACGGGGAAATTTCTCTCCCCGCTGCCAACTTGACCCTTATTGTTCCAGGCTTGTCCAAAGTGTAGGGTCCCCTGGTCCTGGTTTGGAAGTTGACCTCTAGTTTTATACAGAGATTTTTGTTATCAAGTAAAAAATTTATTTGAAAATTTTCGTTGCATTTACTATTCGTTAAAAAAATAGGGATAAAAAGTCGTTAAATTTTTCTAAAATGTTACTCTGGCAGGCAACCTTTTAGAGTTTATGTCGCTATTTTTACACCAACGGTAAACCTAAGTTTTTCAGAAACCTGTATTCCATTATGTCAATCTCGCCGGAACGAGGCCAATCTCCATACTCTGAGCGAGCAGGCATCATCCAAATTGCGGGCCAGAGGTGTTTGCCTAAGAAAATGATTACATGTTAATTTGCGAATTTTCAGTCACTATTGTCTAAAAAAGGTTTTGTGGGTAACCCGAGTAAACTTAGAATCGCTTTCCGGTAGAAATTTACATTTACCTTTTGGTAATCTCGCTCTAATCTCGAATTTTCCATGAAGCCAATTCGCCTTTGTCTTCATTCTTGTCGAGGTAAATTGCTTGTCGCCATGAACACCGTCACCTATGGGTCAAGATTTTAATCGGAATATGTAAATATTTACCTGTAAAACGATGATGTCGCGTGATTAATAAATAAACGGACCAATTTTAATCACTTGGTATTTAATAAAAAACGAGCACTATTAAAAAATAATTACATACCCCACCATTCTTTCCGGGCCGTTATGGTCAAAATTCCCCCTTGCTGGTTGGCATTCTCTCGTCTGTTATTTGTATAACATTGCAACTCGTTGTTACCAAACCCTGAAATTTTGTACAGGAAATTTCAAAATGTTTTTTATTACATTTACACGTTAAGTAAATTACACTCACCACTACATCCCGTATCGAAATCCCACCTATCTGCTAAATTAGCTCCGTCGAATTGATCCTCCCAAGCGAGGTGCCAATAACCATGAACCACTCCGAGGTGTGCAAACGCACACAAAATAAAAATTGGGTTCATGCTTTCTTCAAAAATTTTGAATGAAGTTTTTCCTAGCACAATTAATATTTAACTGTGGCTTGAACAGTTTATATATGTAACTATTTATGGAAATGAATACTTCATACCGCACATTCATACCGCAGAATTAATTCGCAATCGTAGTGTGTTTGTGGTATTCATCTCCGTACTGCGAAATTTCCACGAAATCATCTGGATGTGGTTGGAGGATGGATGACTTGCACAAATTCTGATGTATTTACCAAGTAAACGACATAATTAATAATGGTTTCCTATTGATTATTAGATATGTATGCTTTGAATGTGGAATTCGTGATGAATTGCTGTTTAGAAAAGATGTGTATGAAATATGGCAAACATGTACGTATGCACAATATTTTGTCCTCGTGCTTGCTTACATATTTAGTAAAATTAATCCGCCGTAAAAGTCGTCATTACTTATTGCTGGAATTGTGTATGATGGAAGATTAATTTATGGATTTTAATAGTCGAATGCATGCATACATACATATGTACGTCGTGGCATAAATAAAGTGTGTGACAGGTGTTTTTGATAAATAAATATTATAGGAAAATAACTATTTGTTACTTGATATTTTTTAGATAAATTTTAATTCCTGGATTTAATTCTTCTGATTAGAGTTAAAATATATACATTATTATTAGATTAATAAGGTTTCAAGATTGCGATGTGATCTGTTCTATACTTGAACACTTAATATTTATTTGGTAAACATGACTGCCCACTATTAAAAATACACCCCTAATGATATAAAAATGTTTATTGTTTGTACATACTTATCTAATAGCGCCTCTCGCAATTGTATTATTTTTTTAAATTCATTCTAAAGGCGCACCCTGTTTAACGAGAAATATTTTATATTAAGTATCTGTGAATTATTAAGTAGATATGTATACATAGTTCATTCCTAAGGTTGCTTATTTCAATTTCCACGTGCCGACAAATATCAAATATTCATTTAAATACATATGGAAAAAATGCTACGGGGAAATTACATTTTGTTGTGCTAGCATATATTCCATAAGTACATCCTTCTCCTCACTATTTCGCTAAGCATTTTTTATCTCTAGGTGCATAAATACTTGCAATTATTTCATATCCTTTTGCCAGGTGGTCTGCATATGTGTACTGAAATATGTTATCCCACCTAACCAACACCTTTATACGTATGTACATCGTCTTACACATATTTAAAATTTGTCCCAGAAAATTTCTGGCAGAAATCTAAATGGCTCTTCTTCTTAGCATTTTCCTAGTTTTTCTTCTGAAGAAGTTTGCTGTTCCTCTTCTCTTCATTTCTACAAAAAACATCTCTTCCACGATCCAGCCCCTCTTAACTTCAGAAATTCCTACAACACTGCTAAATTCCATGGAAAACTGAAAGAAACCAGGTTGTCTTCATATTTCTATGCAATCCACATTTTCCCCGGGTCCTACAACTCTTCCGCGATCTCATTCTACCACGATTTCATTCAACCTACCGAAATTCAAATTTTAATCCAATTTTCCACCTCGTTTTTACACCTGACACAAACTTTAATCTCATCCAGCAATACAGCAAAACACTCTGCATCGCGATGAGCATGGAATCTGATAGTATACATATCTTATCTACTGTGTCATATGTATGTGCATACCCATAATTAGGTATATATGTATACAACTATTGCTGTCCTTAACCTTCAAAACTTGAAATTTAAGTTATATAATGCATATAGATCTATGTAATATATACAGTATATATTCAATGCAGTTAAGTTGTTATTTGTATGGTACAGTACAAGCATGTAATAAACTTGTAATAAAAGTGCAACATGCACTCAAAGCAAAAATTTGTCAAATCAACACCGCCGGTGTCAATATATAACTTAACCGCCTTGGTAACAATTGTGACTCCGAGCTGTAATGAAATTTTTCCGTCCGGTCATAACATTATAACTACCGGTATCAAAATCATCATAACTCGGATTCAACATTGCAACCAAGGCGGTTAAGTTATATATTGACACCGGCGGTGTTGATCCTACAAATTTTTGTTTTGAGTATGTATCAGGTATTATATATATCCAAACACACCTGTTGAAAAACATTCTTGTCATTCAAAATTCGGTTATCTCATTGTATTTCATCCGACTTTATTGCATTGGCCCCACGTCTTTTAATAAGTTGGAAATTAGCCTAAGTTGCTGTGGAGTTACATTTCCCCACTTTTAACATATGCATAAATGTTTATGTACATATTTAAATAAGTATTATTATGGAGGCTTATTTTGCATTTATCTACATACATGTATGGTTACAAATTTACTTGTTTCTACATGCTAACTTTAAGAATCTATGTCGTGGATATGTTGGGCATAATAAGACGGAATGTTTAAAAGGTAATTAATGTTTTGTTTAGGTTAAAGTATATACGAAAATGTAACCTATTAACGAGAGTTTCGCCCATTTTTCCACAGACAATGTCTGTCAGACATGCATATGTAGGTAGCCATCGAGCTTATCGACATGTCTGAATAAATAATTAACGAATTCATTATTATGCACGAATTATTCGGCAGATGTATATAAATACCAGAAGGTTCCAATTGCAACGCACCGACAAATGTCAAATATGCATTTATTTACCTGCAACCATAATTATATTTTGCTTAACCAATATATTTTATGATTACTCCTATCATACAAGTTGTATGTATGCATGTGAACTTTTAGTAGAAACATGTAAGCTTTTAGTGGAAACCAAAATGTCTTGTATAATACAAGACATTTTGGAAAATACAAGTTGTATTTTCCTCATTTTTCTGGCGGAAGTCAGCTCTTCGAACGTTCATTTCTACACGAAACAACTTTCCTATGATTCAATTGCTCTCAAATTCATCAATTCCTACAACAGTGCTAAATTTCAGGAAAAAATTTTGATTTCTTGGGAAATTTATACCAATTCGACGGATCCCGTGAAACCTATGGAGATCAGATTTTCATCATATTTCTATGCAATCCACGTTTTTCCGGGAACCCACAACCCTTCTGATTCTGTTTCATTCTACCACGATTTTTTCCGACCATTTGATCTTCAAATTTTGTCGCAGTTTTCCACCTCGTTTTTGCACCTTTCACAAGACATTGATTTTGCCATGGATGGCAGAAAGTGTTGCATGGTAAGAGCATACTTGTTCATATTGGTTAATTAATGAATAATGAATGCGTTTATGAATAATTCATTCCCACAAATTTTTTGGGGAATGAATATTGAGTAAATATTTATTCATTTGATATTAATGAAGATTGAATGAATAGTTTTATTCATTCTTCAACCTTCACCCTATGCTTAATATATGGGGTGTACTGAGAAATTCATGTAATAAGAAGAACTATAGAGATAAAATGAATAATAAACAAATATTTATTTTCAAATCTTGAATAAATGAATAATAATTTTTTTCGAACTTTAGTTTCAACTTAAATGAATTTTGAATGAAGAAATATTTTCTGACCAGGTATGCGGAAGAGGAGAATTATACATCATTTTCAATGAGCAGGTAAAAATATACCAATTTATAGTCACCGGGGTATGGAAAGAATTACCATTCGGCGTCCCACTCATGTCTTTGGCGCTTCGCCTTCAAAAATCCTCCTCACCCTCCAGCCAAACCCAAATTGTCTACATTCTGAACCCTCTAACAACCTGTACCACAAATTTGAAAATGTGGAGTAGTCTCATTCCACCCTGCACCGGAATGGATTCTGTTATTCGAACACAAGCAAATGTTTTCAACTTGACGATAGCTCAATCCTCAAGGCGCCACTTTTTCAGTGAAATTGTATACGCAGCTTTTCGCCAAGTCGGAAAGCTCGATGCAGTGACACTCGTTGAATTTTCAGATTGTCAAATCATTCTAATGTATTGCAAAAAACATTTGCACAACAGTAGTAACTGGATGGTATGTTCACTCCATAGCACAACTCACATTCATTCACCTTCATTTTTTAAACATATTTAGAATGAACGAATTCATTTATAATTCAATAAAAGCTTAAGTACTTTTATCAAAATTTTTATATGAATGAATATTGAGTAAAAAAATTTCAATTGAATGAAGCCATACTTTTTTGAACAGGTGTGGTACACTCCGTACGGGAAGTTCGTCTGGATCGTGACTCTACTATCTTTCTCTGCGATCGCCTTCACTGCTTGGATCACTGCTGGAAGTAGAGATGCAAGTTTGAAAACCTGGAAAAATCTAGGGTTTCAAATTTTCTTTCAAATCTCCGTCTTTATGCGGCAACCAATTCGAAGTTTTAGATGGACCGATGTGACAGGAGGGTTTTTAACGCTAATTCTTCTCTCGGTGTATGAAACGTTCATAACGGGTAGTCTGATCGCTCCCTCGCCTCCAGTGAGGTTTCGACATATAGGGGATTTAGTAAATTCGGGATATAAAGTGGCCTATGATTACGCAAGAAATCCAGAATTTGATGAAGTCGAAAAACTAAACGATGTCTCCGAAGAATTCAAACGGTATGGAATCCGGCACAAGATAAACTCCACTTTTGTCAATATTTCAATGGAAATTGCTCAATACTTGGTGGGAAAACCAGAAAAGATGATTGCGACGTACTATATGGGGTCGAAATTCGCAAATGGTGAGATGGCTAGGTTGCAAAAATTGCAGGTGACTAAAATACCGGAACAAGATGTTCAACGGGGACAGGACATTTATTGCGATTTCGTCACGTTGGGTGACGTAAAACCGGTATCTTTTCGATACAGTGTGCCACTCATGGCGGAAATGCATAAAGTGCATCGACAATTACGGGGGGATTTTTTCATATTGGGACAAGGAGTTTTGGGACTGGCATTTCTTGATGAATAAAAATGTCCTGGATCATAATGAAGAATTTCTAATCCTGAACAGGTCTGGGGATGAGATCGTGAAGAAAATGTTGATCGAGTTGGCCAGCTTGGAAATGTTGTTTCTCGTGTGGGCGATATTTATGGGGGTGGGTGCAGTTGGGTTTTTATTTCGAGAAGTTAAGGTTCACCGGATTATT